TTCAAAGATAAAATGAAAATCTGTTTTCACTCACTGAAAAATCGAAAATAGGGACACTGATGTCAGCGCGCTTTAAGACTTAGCTGAAATGCCAACGGTTTCCCAAAAGCCTCAGAGGAGAAAATAGTTTCAGTTGAACCCCCTTGAATTTTACCGATAAATTCGGCTACAATTTACTATGAGTATCTTCAAATCGATGTTTTTCCGCAATAAGGACTTTCTTTATTTTTAAAAATAATATATTTTAAATCTTGAATCACTTTTAAATCACGTGATCACTTGGGCTGGGACTGATGCCATTGGTTGGACGGAAGCATTCCGAAACTGGCTTTAGTCGATGCTTTTCTACAGGGATTCGAACCTCCGCTCTTGCGGTTCAGAGTCGGAGGGTGAACCACTGAGCTACACCAAGTGCGTTGAAGGAAGAAGGATGGCGCAGGTATATGACACCCCGCCGCGGCGGGCGAGTGTGTTATGAAAATTCATCACAAAATCATAACTAAGTTCTGAAAACTCATTACGAGCGACTTGTTAAGTTAGCGTCATGAAAAAGTTATGAATCGGTCGATGTTATGACTTTTTATATCAATGTTATAAAATTTCATAATAAATTCGTCATAGAAAGTCACAACCGGTTTTACAGTGAGCATCGCGAGGCCTATTGCGACAAGACACGATCTGGCGTACACCCATCTTGTCACATCTCCATGGGGTAGTAGGTAAGCAAATACTATTTTGGGTGTTGCAGGTTTCTTCGAGACTTGTATTACTACGAGTAGTTGGTTCTTAGTAGGGTTCTAAGTGTGCAGAAGGTGCAACCATGGTTTATCCTGAAGCGCTTGATTCATTGGCTGAGCGATAGCGAAGCCTGTTACTCCAGTGGGGTTGGAACATTTTCCCTGTCAGTGTGTGTGTTTGTCTGTCCGCACTACTGAACGGCTGGGCCGATTCGGCTGAGATTTGGCAGGGTCATGAAGTGTATCCTCGGCTCACCTCTCACCAAAATTCATCTTTTGATCTTAATGCATGTGGTCATTATGGCCAAAAAACACTTCCAAAACGGCAAAATATTGACTCTTGACTGACAAATGTGGTCTTATCGTATGTTTTAGAAGGTGCTGAAAATGATAATAGAATCCATTTCGACCTCCGACCCAGGTTCAAGTCCTTCACATAAATTTCTTTAACAGCTTGCCGGAGGCAAGCAGTAAGCGCCGCAGGTCAAGGTAGGTGTAAACGCCAGGCGTGGATTGTCGAAACTGGCGCAGCATCGCGAAGCCTGTTACGACAAGACACGGTCTGGCGTACACCTACCTTGTTACAGTTTTCGGTGTATCCATTTCGATTTATTTTAGCCAAAGTGACACTTGTGGCAAGGCACGCTTCATTTCATGATCTGTCGATCTATGCGAAGCAACTTGCAAACACCGATCACCGAAAATCTAACAGTGATACATTCACACTCTCTGAGGGGTGAGACATGACTGACTCATCGAAGGGTGATACCAAAGTGTATCACCGAATAAATGGTCGTACACGCACGTATCACCGAAAAAAGGTCAAGCACGAATGTATCACCGAAAAAAATGGTCGTACACGCATATATCACCGAAAAAAATGGTCGTACACGCATATATCACCGAAAAAAAAGGCCGTACACAAGTGTATCACCGGAAAAAGGGTCGTACAGAAATGTATCACCGTCTAAAGGGTGATACTTTCCCAGGAAAACAAGGGCCAATCTCGCTGGTGTCTCATCTTTTTTTCGGTGATACATTTGTGTACGACCTTTTTTTTCGGTGATATATGCGTGTACGTCCATTTTTTTCGGTGATAAATGCGTGTACGACCATTTTTTTCGGTGATACATTCGTGCTCGACCTTTTTTTCGGTGATACATTTAGCATCGCCGAAAATTGGTGAGATGTCTCACCCTTTGAATAACAGTGTAAATCCCTAAGACGTCCGTGCCCACTGTATCCATGCGAGAAGCATGGCTTTACGAGCTACAGAGGCCTTTGCCGCCCTCCTGATTCATTGAGTCGCCAGCCACAGTGTCTCTTGACGCCTCTAGCTTTTCGATACAGAGTAGAGACGCTACCGAGGAACTCGGCATATCTCCACCGTGTCTCGACGATGTTTTGCGTCCCTCCGTAATGGACCCCCTGACCGTCTCCAGAATGCCTCCGGAGTGCACTCTGAGGAAAAATTACGGTAAATCCTCCAGACTTACCATAGACATACACCAAATTATTGTGTAGAATTTTGTACGTGTAACTTGCACACATTTTTGTGCAAACGTGGAATCAACATAATATTATGCACAGATAAATTCCTGCAAAGAACCGCTCTTTGTAATACGAAGAAAACGGCGGCTTCGCAGCCTGCGAAGGAAATCGTTTGTAATACAAATGATTTTCTTCGTAATACAAAGGAAAAATCCTTCGCAGGCTGCGAAGAAGTTCTTCGTAGGCTACGAAGAATTTTTCCTTTGTATTACAAAGAAAATCGTTCGTTTTACAAACGATTTCCTTCGCAGGCTGCGAAGCCGCCGTTTTCTTCGTATTACAAAGAGCGGTTCTTTGTAGAGTTTTAAGTGTGTGCGTAAAATGCGTAAGTTTCTGCAAATCTGATCAAAATTCAAGGCAAAACGTTTTACAGGTTATAAATTATGCAACAGCGCGTACAAAATTGCACACAACTATTAAGCGTGGATTTAAGTTCGGAGGCCTACCCAGAGAGGCGAAGGCCAGAAGGCCGAGCAGGATGAGGGACCTGGTGGCCATCCTGTGAGGCAGGCGCGAACACTTCTGCCCGACTGCTGCGGAGCGACAAGCCAGCCTCGTGGGCCCGTGCTGAGCTGGCTGTGTGCCGACGATAAGACGGTCGAATGCGTATATCTTGGCCAGGAATACGAGTAGTGGTTGACTTGTGTGATTTTAGTGGGAAAGTTATGGACGCAGCTCGTGGGCGTACACTCTATATGTCTTACAATGAAATTTGACCTATATTATTGGCTGAGCGATAGCGAAGCCCGTTACTCAAGTGCGGTTGAAAAGTTTTGTCTGTCTGTGTGTGTGTGTGTGTGTGTGTACACTACTCCTCCTGAACGGCTCGGCCGATCTGGCTGAGATTTTGCAGGCTTATTAGGTATGTTCTTGGTTCGGTACACGCGAAATCTCACTATCCTAGATGAACTGGTTCAGTTTTTCAAGCCGAAAGACACCTAAAAAACGGCGAAAAATCGAGTTTTCTGCAGGTAGATCACCTCTGTCTTGAAGAAAGGGGGGTCTGGAGGGCGGAGCCCCTCAGCCTCGACAAGTTAGAAAAATACAAGGGTCAAGATCGTGTTATCTGTAGATGAAGCAACTCTACCTAGAATTAAGGAGGGTCTGGGGGGCGCCAGCATGCAACACGTAAGGAGTAACCGACGATGGATAAGCCAATGCCTGCCAAAGGCAGGCTAGCGCCGCAGGCCAAGGTAGGTACGCCAGGCGCGGATTGGAGAAACAGGCAGCGAGACATCGCGAAGCCTGTTACGACAAGACGCGGTCTGGCGTAAACCTACCTTGTACATTAAACACAAACAAATAATGACAGAACAGAAATAGTACTATAAATATTGTGTTAGCATGCATGTATTCCCAGGATGTGAGGCGCCTGACAGTGAGTCAGAAAAATGTCTGAGAGGGGCTCCATTCCGCTGAGCGTGCACTGCAAATTCAAAGGCAAAAATGCAGTATTTTTGGGGATACGAGGAAGCATCGCCAACAAACGCCCTTACCAAAATATCTTGCCTTCCAAAACGGGGATACACAAAAGTATCGCCAAAATCTGGCAATACACAAAGAACTAGTCCCCTAGTGGTTAAGCTCTGTTCAAAGTTTATTGCGAAATCGTGGCAGTGTGACCCCTTCCCGGCCCTTCGCTGATCTCTCTCTCGCTGTGGTGACTTTCTCCGAAACGCACTGACGCTACCGGAGCAGCGGTAACTGTTTTCCTCTTTAACGGCCACCCACCCGAAGAAATACACATGAACATACATGACGACCCTCATCCAGTACACTCTAAATGTCTTACGAAGAAATTTCCCATATTATGAAGGAAATGGCGCAAGTATAATACGAAGGTGGTTTTTCTTTGTATTACGAAGGTTTTTCTTTGAACCTTAAAATGAAAAAGCTAAAAAGATTCGTATTAGGAAGGAATATTACGAGGGAATATTGCTTCGTATTATGCTTGTGCCGAATTCACTGTAACATACGAACAAGGTAGGTTTACGCCAGACCGCGTCTTGTCGTAACAGGCTTCGTGGCCTGTTCCTCCAATCCGCGCCTGGCGTACCTACCTTGGCCTGCGGCGCTAGCCTGCCTTTGGCAGGCATTGGCTTATCCATCGTCGGTTACTCCTTACGTGTTGCATGCTGGCGCCCCCCAGACCCTCCTAATTCTAGGTAGAGTTGCTTCATCTACAGATAACACGATCTTGACCCTTGTATTTTTCTAACTTGTCGAGGCTGAGGGGCTCCGCCCTCCAGACCCCCCTTTCTACAAGACAGAGGTGATCTACCTGCAGAAAACTCGATTTTTCGCCGTTTTTTAGGTGTTTTTCGGCTTAAAAAACTGAACCAGTTCATCTAGGATAGTGAGATTTCGCGTGTACCGAGCCAAGGACATACCTAATAAGCCTGCAAAATCTCAGCCAGATCGGCCGAGCCGTTCAGGAGGAGTAGTGTACACACACACACACACACAGACAGACAGACAGGAAAAATTTTTCAACCCCACTGGAGTAACAGGCTTCGCTATCGCTCAGCCAATCATCTGCAAAAAAATTACGTCAGTTCAATTCCTATTTGGTGAAATGCAGAATCAAAATCCGTATTTGTATGTTTTCTGGGGGGGTATGCAGGGTCTTCTCTGTTGGCGAGGATTGAAATAAAGAGATGTGTGATTGTTTGTTTATTCAGAACTAAAAGTAAAGCAACAACACAGTGTCCTGTCCTGCAGCCACGGAATCAGAGTGCACCTCTTGGAGAGAGACTACTGATGTCGGGACGCGGTGCTGCCGGGCGGACGTCATTGGGTCATGAGTTGGACATAGCCGTCGTCGCACCACCTGTTGGCGGCAAAACAGAGAGAAAGAGATTAAGAACCAATCAGATGGTGTCGGCTTCAACATTTCATGCGCAGTTTAGGTGGCCCCACAATGGCCGTTCTTACAACCGACATCATTTGGGCACATGAGTTTTTGTATTACAAATCTAATTTCTTTTCATAGGCTACACAACTGTCTGACCACAGATTACCAAATGTTTCTTCGTGCGTAATTCAAAATATACGAAGGAACTGCACCGAACAAAGACGTAACAACAACCACAAGTAATTTTAAGTTGCAATTTCTTTTATATTTCGAAGAAAAGTGTCCTACACTCAGAATGTCGTACGAAGAAATTTCCCATAATGGCGCAAGCATAATACGAAGGTGGTTTCTCTTCGTATTACGAAGGTTTTTCTTTGTATCTTACAATGAAAAAGCTAAAACGATTCGTATTACGAAGGAATATTGCTCCGTATTATGCTTGCGCCGAGTTCACTGTAACATTCGAATAACATAGGTGAAATTTCATTGTAATATTCTTTAGTAATATTTCTTAGTTTCAGAATCCTGGTTAACAGTTTTTAAATACTTCGCCGCCATGTTTTCTCGGAATTCAAAACAAAGCTTTGTAAACCAGACGTGGTTTGAAGAGTAATAACTTGTTTGAGTGTCGTCGCCTCGAGACGCGCGACGCGAGTTAACATTGTGGCTGCACTCACTAGTAAACTGCACGGGCATGTCGGCGACCCAGTAGAAAGGCCTGACCCTGAGCGTGCCGTAGTCCGCCTCCACGGGGACCTCCACCACGTCGTCCGGCCGGCCCTGCCGCCACACGGCGAGCTGCCCGGGCCGGTGCTGCACCTCCAGCACCACCTCGCCGGGGGCGAAGTCAGGGCCGCTTCCCCTGTTTTCCTGCACAGAGAGCACACTGTTGAAAATAGTTGTACAGACATAAGCAAAGGCGTGAAAGTCTAGTCCTTGAGTGTCATTGTGCATGATGAATGAAAGCGAACGGAATGTCCTTGTATCATCTAGAAAGCAACAATATGCCAAAGAACAAAATGCTTGATATTCGCGTAAATGCTCAAACTTGTGTGTGAAGAGCATCTTACGTCGTTTATCCCTAACTTAAAATAGATGACAAGTATAACATGGATTTATCAACTGTTTTGTTTTTTCAATGTCATAGTGAGATAATTGTTATATTAGAAGTAAATCTATGAAAAATAAAGTAAGCAACAAGAGGATTCAATCAATATATGACGCGGACATTACAAATGATAGTTATTGACTTACTATACTTGTCGCAGACTAACAACATTAACTGTTGGTCAGGTCAACGACTTGGTTTTGAAGGTTGGCTGTTAAGAAAGTCATTTCAAGTGTGATTTTGTGGAACTCCTTTAGGGCTGTACTTTTTTGTTGCAATTCGACAGTGGTCAAACAAGCTACCCAATACAAAACAAATCTTGTCGCTAAAATAAAGAATGAAGTTTATTGTAAAGTGAAAAAAGTGGCTATTCAACAATATTTAAATACCTTTGTCAGAAGTCTCAAATTATGGTTCTTAGCTCCTTTCTATTGCATAAACTCATATACTAAATCTAGGGCTCCAACTCCAATTGGTTTTGGAGTTATGGAGGTTTACGGAAACTTGTCGTTGTTTCTCACAAATTCTCCTCACGACATAAGGATAAGCTACCCAGTCTTCAGATGCTGGCAATTTTAACTATTTTTGAATTGAAAATAGATAGTGTTGCCCTTTGTTTAATATCTACCTTAGTGTTCCTGAAAAACCAAGACCAAATGGGGAGTCTGTCAAATTTGAGGAAAAATTATAATAAGCTGTTACAGGCTCTTCTGGACTGATATTTTCAACTCTGTCAAATATATCTTTCTCCTATGCAAAAATAGATATAATTGCCAGAATCTGAAGACTGGGTAGGTAACTCTTTGTTGTGAGGAGAATTTGGGAGAAACGACTAAGTTTACGTAAACACTGCCAATCCAAGTGTGGACGACGCAAGCGTGGACCATTTTGGTCCACGCTTTGAACCACCGCTTGGTCCACGCTTTGAAGCATGGACCACCTTTGAAGCATGGAGTTCTATGCTTGCCAAGCGTGGACCAAGAGGTGGTCCAAGAGGTGGTCCACGCTTCAAAGCGTGGACCAAACAATGGTCCACGCCTTGAAGCGTGGACCTGGTCCAAACTTGGATTAGCAGTGTAACCTTCAGAACTCGTAATAGGAGCTGGGGCCCCCTTCTTGGGGAATAAATTCATCTAATAGTGGTTGACTTTAGACCACATAATGAACTTCCTGTGACATTTCTAGAACAAAATTTTGACCAGTGCGGGGGCACTCACCTTGACGGTGTTGCCGAGCCTGCCGAAGCGGGTGCAGCCCGTGAACGTATCGTATCTCAGCGAGCCGTTGGCACTCTCGCCTCACAGTATCACGACGCTGCAGTTCTTGTCGCCGCACAGGTGCACCTCGATGTCGTTGTGGACCTTCGCGTACTGCACGCGGGCCGTGGCCGAGGCGTTGAGCGGCAGGGCCACCTCGTGAGCTGCCAACAGTGCTGCGGACAGAGGGGCGTCACTCTCACCAAATGGCTTATCATTTGGGGAAACGGCCGTACTCAATTAATACGTATGATTTTTTTTTGGTGTGCTTTAGCTTTTGTACGTTTGAATTCCTGCGCAACAACGGACACTTTCGGGCTTAGTCGCGCACCGATTCGTGCACTTTGAAACACGTGCACAATTCTGTGCGAAGCTTACGCCCACAAAAACTACATAAAAATTAAGTGAGGGGGGACGCTGCCGACCCGTACCGGACGACGGCCTTCCCACCCCATATTTAACTTCGTATACCGTACGCACAGGCATACACTGCAAGAAAAATTGTGAATAGTACAACAAAAGTAAAACAGGGATTGAAAAAAGTACAATGAGAATTGTACAAACCACGAGGCCTGGTCTGCACAGCACTCGTCATGCCGGTTTCATTGTACTTCGTACAACAATTGTTCTACTTTGAGAGTACAATAAACTCCTAAAAACAAGTTTGTCAGGAATTAGTATACTTTTTAGCAGATGATACCTTTATTGCTACCTAGAACAATACAAGACACATAAAGGTGTCAGCTAGCTTTTACTCGAGAGTCCAGAAACCAAAGTGTGAATCCTAACAATAATAGGAGCTGGCGGCCGGGGCGGGATGGTGAGTGAGGCATGGCTCGCAGTCTGCGCGAAACATCGACAATGGCACCCCTCTCACGGTCTGCGACGGCCTGCTCACTGGCCACTCCCCCGGTACAGCGCCGGCAGACCCATGCAAACGACGAGGCACCGCCTTCCTCGCGAGGCGAAGGAGGAGGGGAAATGTAAATACTTTTAATATTTCTACAATGACACATCCTAAAGAATATAATTTTTATTCATACATGTTCTCACTCTTATTTGCAGTTTTAAATACAAAACAGACATGAGAGCACACTGTTACAACTAGCACACACGACAATACCAAACAAATATCATCGAAAGGAAACCAAACGAGTATCATCTGCTTTCATTAACCGAGGGGGAAAGCACTCGCGTAATAGTCGGGTCACTCTGTCCGTAATAGCCCGCGTAATAGTGTGCGTAATAGTAGCGTAATAGCCGAAATTCTCCAAATTTTATCTATTTAAGGGGCTTTTTTGTCTGTTTTCAGCTAAATACCTTAAGTCTTTAGGCCTTATAGAGCGTAATAGACGTAATAGTCGGGTCGCAGGTTTTAAGATTGATTTCCCCCTCGTCATTAACGTTCGTTGAATGAGATTTTTTTAGGTTTTTTTCTTGCAGTGTAACAACCATCAAGAGTTGTTCCGTGGCATCAGATATTTATTTCACGGTAACCTGAGTGGAACCGGAAATGGCCCCGATCGCGCTGGAAGTGCGCATGAAGCCGAAATATCGAAAGCGGCGCTAACTTATTTTGACCGAAACGTGTCCACTTCCGGCGCGATCAGGGCCATTTCCGGGCCCACTCAGGTTACTTCCGGAGTTGAGTGGATGCAAAATGCTACTCCAGAACGTGTCTTTAGAGATGCATCGAGTGGGACGTCTTGAACGCCAAAACACACTAGGCAGATGACGAAAATCATCAAAATACAGCAAATCGACGATTTCCACGCCTTGTTTATGGTAAAAACGGCCTGCGCCCGGACCTTGACCGACAGCTCTCCCAAAAATTCACAACATTCGGACATATATTTCGCACCAAAAGCGTGATAGGGCATGTCAAATTTCTCGATGGTTCCAATGCGCTGTTCGGGATTATTTTGTGAAATTACGATTAATTGTCTGTTAAATCTGTACCACGAACTGCTCGTAAATTTCAAAAACGATCTGATCATCCATCTTCTTTCCGTCTATTTAAAAAAATATTCTTAAACTTACAAACTTAATCCTCAAATTTTGGTCGTTTCAGGCAATTTTTCTTCCTATTTAGTAAGGGAACAACGGACGAAAACGCATCTTTTCAGACTTGCTTTTACAATTATACTTGTAAATTAACGATTTCACGTGTAAATTAAATGATGAACAATTTGTCAATTTACAATTTACTGTGTAAAAAAACAGTGCAGTGTGGTACAGATTTAACAGACAAGTATTCATAAAAGTAAGCTTGATTTGTAAGAAAACAAGTTTACGCGTGAATAGTTGTAAGATACCGCTGTTATCAGTAAAACTACGATCTTTCGTTAGTAACATTAAGATTTCACCGTAAAATTATGAATTTATTCCTAAATTTATGAGTAAAGTTTGTCGAAAATATGACAATTGTTCATTTCATAAATCTTTGTATCTATGAATCTTTGTATTATTTGTAAAATTACAACACTAATAGTTGGGATTACTGTTGTAAAATAACGACTTCTCCTAACAGTGTGTCATGCTCGTAAAAGTGTCATTTTTTTACGTTTAGAGTCTAAACGCTTGTTCACGGCGCTTGCAGGCCTCAAATATCCGTGCAGCGACAAACAGGCAGTGGGTTTTCCAGTTTCCGCGAATCTGCGTTGGTTCCCGGCAGTGCTCGGGAGGGTTTCTATGCTCGGCCAGAGGGCCAAGCGGGAAACCGCCGCGACCCCAGGCGACCCCAGCTACCTCACCGCGACCCCAGCCACCTCACCGCGACCCCATTTGGGGTCGCGACCCCAAGGTTGAGAACCGCTGGTTTAGACCCTTTTTTGGAGGCCTCTGATGGGCAAGAAGGGGGGGTCCCGGCCAGAACTGTTTTGGCAATAGTGTTACACGAGGTGTTACAATATCTTAAGGGTCCCATGTCTGTGAAAGACAATTTCGATTTTAGATCCATTGCTCCACCCTACTCTTGGTCACACTCACCGTCGCAGCCTTCCTCGTCGGAGCCGTCACGGCAGTCCCTGTTACCGTCGCACCTATAGACTCCTGGAACAGGACTCCTGCCCTCCTTGCAGTAGAAGAACTGCTCCGGCACGCTCTCGCCGGCCGCTGCGGACAAAGAGGCCATGGGTGGGACGGGGCGTTGTCGCGAACAGACTTTTCACAGTAAAAACTCTACAAAGAATGGCTTCGCAATACGAAGAAAATGAAGGCATTGTAAAATCTACGAAGAAATATGAAGCAAAATCCTTCGTAATACGAAGCATTTCCACAACGCCTTCATTTTCTTCGTAGTTATGAAGCAAATGCTTCGTAGGCTTTCAAGAGTGTTCATCTGCGGTTTGCTTCTCTCTGCACAGCGCTGTGAAAAGCATTGCATGCCTCGTGCCTACACTACAAATCCAAAGGTCAGACTTCACGCCACTCCAGAGGCGAGACATAAAAGTCTCGCCAAGTTTTGGTCAGATCTAAAAGTCTCGCCAAAATTCGGTCAGACAAAAAAGTATCGCCAAGGAACGGTCAGACACGAAAGTCTCACCAAAGAATGGCGAGACTTTTGTGTCTGACCGCCACCTAAAGGCCGTAATGCGCCGGACGGTTACGGCCTAAAGGCCGTGGTCAGACAGAAAAGTCTTGCCATTTTGTGGTAAGACTTTTGTGTCTGACCGTTTCGTGGCGAGACTTTTTTGTCTGACCAAATTTTGGCGAGACTTTCAGGTCTGACCAAAACTTGGCAAGAACTTAATGTCTCGCCATATTTAGGCGCGAAGTCTTTCCATTCAATTTGCAGTGTATAGGCACAAGTATACTGTATAAGAATACTCGCATACAAGTATAAATACTTGGCTAAGATATCTACAGATGCATACTTGGCTGAGTACACACGCACAGACGCATACGACGGCATACGTTATTTCCTGCGTTCCTGGTTGACACCTACATGAGTCGTCTTGCATGGACTCTATTCATTGATGACTTGTCGACAAATTTGAGTGACGGAATCTTGATATCAGCCCTACTTTTTTTTATAAACACCTAAAAGTTTTTATGTTAAAATTTGAAAATTCATATCTCAGGACAGAAGTTGAGAAATTGAAAATTCCGTCACTAAAATCTCTTCTAAAATCTCTCTTAGGATAACCCCAAAAAATTTTCAAGACTTTCCCTCCCAATAAAAGACGCAGGAAGATTTTCCCCCGACGCTCTAAAAAAGACACAAAAGCCTTTTTTCTCAGACACCGTTCAACATTTTGGATTGAATTTTGTTTTGGGAACTCACCATAATGAACCTAACGCTTAAGCAAAGTTTCAACTTTCTGCACTGTAAAAAAAGTATTACTGAAATTTCATAATTTTAGTCTGAAGTTTTTAAACAGACTAGTGGTCTGAAAATTCAGAGTAATTATTCAGACCATTCTGTCTGAATTCCAAATTCAGACTACTTGTCTGAAAAACATTTTCAGACTGCTACTCTAAAATATTAAATAAAAGTGCCATCTCTAAATCAAAGAGAAATAAATCAACAAGAGAACAATATGAACCACCAACGTGTGACGTTACCTCCTTTCCACTTTTCACTACTTGTTCGCTTCGGCCCGGGTTCGAACCGGAACTTTTTGGTTACGAGACGAGCTCGGTACCACTTTTTAAAAAAAAAAAAAACAACTTTAATAAAAATAAATAATTTACATATACACTTCAAAACACAGCTTGCTCATATGCGGCTAATATAGACACAGGATACGTGGACATAAGGAGAAAAAAAACTGGTCGCTAAATTTAGGCGTAGAGAGAAACAACAATTTTAAAAAGGAGTACAAAGAAAACACGAGAAGCACTAAAGAGACAACACGTGCTGGACATTGTTTTGACTATGCCCTAAGGAAATTAATTGCGAGAAAACGAAACGAAGGTAGGACCAGCATAGGTAAAATAAATAGAACAACAGGACGCCACAACAGAAGATGAAAAAAAAGGAAAAATGAGACGGGGACAAATGGACGCTTACAAACATTAGCACAGTGACAAAACCACTAAGAAGAAACGGAGAACAAAATTGAAAGGGGATTGAAGACGGAGACATAAAACATGTATTTGTACAACAAATATTTACAGAAATTTACAGGTTGTTGAAAGAGAAATACCACGGGAGCTAAAACAGCATTGAGAAGCAAATTAAAAGGGGGATTGAAGATGGAGACATAAAACATATATTTGTAACACAAATATTTACAGGAATTTACAGGTTGGTTGAGAGAGAAAAATCAAGGGAGCTGAAACTGCATGAGAGAAGCCGCGTTACCAAACCAACCAGATCACAAAATTACATAGGTAAAAAAAAAACAGGGGCAAGGGAAATTACAAGATTACGAAAACATTTTAGCATAAGCTACAGGTCACTTGATGTGCCTGTGCTTCCCGTTTGCCCCGCAGCAAGCGCTACGGGCGCTGCCTGGCGGCGGGGGAAGCCGTGCCGCGTGACTCTCTTCAGAGGATACCAGCTCCTTTCGGCAAGTCCAGAATGCAAATTAGGACAACTCTTACGGTTTATCTACCGTACACAGACGAATCTGCGTGAAGCACGGGTGTACATTATTATTTCCGATAAATTTATACAACGCCTTACGTCTAGACTTGATTAGTAGACAATCTGTCAAAATTTTCATACCAAAATTATGAAAACAGGTTTCAGGATGACAAGTCTGAAAACTTCATCAGAATTTTCAGACCTTCTGCTTAAAATTCAGACTAACCGGTGTGATCTCAAATTTCAGAGTTCCTAGTCTGAAAATTCAATGCAATTTTCTGAATTACCGATTCAGACTGCAAAGTCTGAACAAATTGTAGTGAAATTTCAGAATTTTTTTTACAGTGTGGGATTATTTTGAAGCCTACTCGAAAGTTTCCACATTCGATTTCTTGAAAATGTTTGAAAAACATAACTTTTTTTCTTGACCTCGGAAAGGCTCGTCTCCGTTGAACGTATCTCCTTGCTGCCCGATAGGTGGCGTTGTGGTCGTTGCTAAGACATCGCGCTGTTTCAGGTGACAAAGGAAGGTTCAGGGAAGACGCATACCGAATTGGAAATCGATTCGCTCATTCATGGGATTTATAGAGCCCCGTGAAACAAAATGGCCCATAAATTGATTAGTGACCCACAATTGATTTTATACCTCGGAGGAGGGTAAACAAACTGAACTGAGACGGTGTGCCGCGGACACGGACATGCCTGTACACTCTACCAAAAATGTACTGTCAATGCCGTTAATTTATGACCAGTTTTCACTGTAGGTCAATTCACAGCGTTTTACTGTGATCTGCTCACGCGATTCACTGTGATCTTGTTCACGGTGTTCACTGTGATCTGGTCTACAGTAAACACTGTGAGTTTGACGCCGCTGAGCACCGAAGTACTGCAAATCAGGCTCCAATTCACGGCGTTTACTGTGGCCAGATCACAGTGAACACTGTAACCGAGATCACAATGAACGCCGTGGACTAGTTCACAGCAAACGCCGTGAATTGCATAACAGGAAACATTGGTAATAAATTAACGGCGTTGACAGGACATTTTTTTGTGGAGTGTAGGCTCTTGCTAGTCGGCGGGATGCTATAGCAGCCTATATGCTCACTGAAACACTTAATCTGCTTCTGGAATACAGAGAAACCTATGGGGAAAATCTATCAAACAATCAACGAACATTCATTCATGAAGTATGTTCATGAAGATTCTTCTCAGATTGGATTCGGTCAAGCCGCTGCCCGGAACCGAGGTGACGGTCGAGTGCACTCCCATTTGCCACTTGCAACACTCATTCCTCAAAGTTACAGGCGGCCAAGAGGAGGAGTTAGTGTGAAGGACAGTGGCGTGCGCAAGGGGAGGGGGGGGGGTCATGACCCCCCCCCCTTTGGCCACTAGACAGCCGCCTGGAAGGTAGGCAAATTGCGTCACTTTCCCCCTGTAAGTAGGCAAAAAGCATGGCCTGACCCCCCCCCCCTTTTCAAAATTTCTGCGCACGCCACTGGTGAAGGACGGCCTACCTAGCGACACGACGGCCAGAAGGCCGAGCAGGATGAGGAGCTTGGTCGCCATCTCCTGAGAAGGCGCGAGCACTACTGCCCAGGGCTGGGACAGATACTTTATATTTTTACCTAGGTACAGATACAGATACTGGATCAAAATAGTACCTACACTGTTAAAAAAATTCTGAAAATTCAGACCAATTTCGTCAGACTTAGCGGTCTGAATCTGTAAATCAGACTTTATTCTGAAAAATTAGAGTTTTTGTCTTACTTCTTAGACGCTTTGTCTGAAAGCTTGGTTCAGACTCGAAGTGTCTTAATATTTGTACTCATTCTCAAAATTCAGATGACCTTGCGTCGGACTTTCCAGACCTCAAAAGTCTGAATTTCGGATTCAGACTACTTTCTGAAATATGTTCAAACATAAGAGGAAATTGGACAACATTCTTCCAACCTAACATGGGGTTAACTCACAATCTGTCTTACATTCAATGTAATCCGACTTCGTTTAGGGGACTTCAGACAAAACCAAAGTATTATTCTCTCCGCTAGGTGGCGCCAGTGTCGGTTAAGAGCTTGCTGTTGTTAAAAACGCCTTTTTCTGTTAAATTTTTAATATTTCCAACCCGAAATAGCTATCACTCTATTGGCTATGACGAAACACACGCTCCCATACCAAATTTATATCGGTAGCAAACGCGTGAGTTTCACAATTGACATTTGAAGTTACCTCTCGCGGGTGGCTCCGTGCCGTCGCGTCGCGTCGTTTCCTTGGGTGCGTCAGGCCAGCTCCAGGTGAGTGCAGGGAAGAGTCCCACTTCGGGGACATTTCCCTACACTCAATTTTTCACCTGGCCGGTCCCCTGGAGTACGTCTCTCCTTTGAGGTTCGGATGCAAACATTATTATCTCACCGAGTTTTGGGAACACTGTCCTGCCGCCACTTTCAGACAAAAAAATCTAATAATTGAGAAAATTTTGTCTGAATTTTTCAGACTACGACCTGCCTGAAAGGTTGAGACTTATGTAAGTCTGAAAATTTCAGACCAGGATTTGGTCTGAGTTTTCAGTAGGATGTTCTGCATATTTACTTCAGTCAAAATAGTCTGAATTTTCAGCAAAAATTTTTAACAGTAGTTACAGGTACTTGATTGAGCTCAGTACCTAGGTACAGTTACAGGTACTTCGGCAAAATACCTAGGTACTTTTCAGGTACTTTCAGTTATTTTGATATTTCAACACATCCACCCAGTAACGCAACGAAAACAAACCTCGCGCGACTTTTTCGTCCCTTTAAACTTTCTTGCGTCAATGACCCTTCCGTGCCAACGTGTGTGCTGTTTACAACCCCGATTCGTCACGCCGCATCGCCAGCGGCTCCAGGGACCATCCTTGACCTCGCTCCTATAATGGGATGGTTCCGGTAACGCATTTTAGGGACAAACCCCAAGAGCCCTGCTGAGATGTGTCCATTGTTTCATGGTGCAAGTCCTCTGCGTTCACCTTGGCAGTGCATGCGGTGACCAGACCTGCCACATTGAGCCCGGAGGAGACACATAAAAAGGGGAGGGGGCCCGGGGCCGAATATCTGTTTCTTCCCCGAAAACAGGCAGTCCTCTTTCTTCATCCCCGCACTGTTCTGAGCGCATCTCATCACCCGTCTTTCCCTACATTCGCGCCCAAAAGTACCTGTAAAAGTACCTGCAGTTCTAGGTAAAGTTACTGCCCCAAAAGTACCTAGGTACAGGTACAGATACAATTGTGACTTGAGTACCTAGGTACAGTTATAGGTACCAAAAAAGTACCTAGGTACAGTACCTAGGTACTTTTTACCTAGGTATTTCCCAGCCCTGCTACTGCCAGCTGCTGCGGCGCGACAAGCCGACCGCGTGGGCCGCGCTGCACGGGCCGTGATAAGAAGGTCGAGGGCTTACGTCATGGCGAAAACACGGAAAGTCGGGGTAATGCGTGCGATTTCAATCGGAACCTTTGGCCCCTCGCGGGAGTTGTTGGGTAACTAAGGGTCATCACACTGCAAGTCGAAGTGTGAGACACCGATGTCTCGCAGTCCCCTGTAAGGGTGTCCTCACATGGGTTGGTTCGCCAAGATGTGGGAATTTGAGGCGCGCGATTTCCAAGATTTTAATGTGCGGCTTTTCGGATGAAATTTTGCAGGCTCATTCAAGATGGCTCTAGAATGGTCCCCAAGAAATATCAAAGCTCAATTCGTTCCAGTTTTGATTCAAATGGCTTAAATGTTGAACGCGTACTTTGGGTCGATGTTTGTTACGTTTGCGTCGACGTTTGTTACACGCGCGTCGACGTTCGTTACATTCAAGTGGTTTGGGTGGAATTTCAAAGTGGACAAAACTGACATCTATTAATAGAAATCGATTCGTCTGATCAGGACAAACAAAAAATCCTAACATATGTAATAGGCTTGGATGCGAAATAAACAAGTATTTAAGCTTCAAAAGTGCAGTAACAGGCGTCGACGCCGGGGTCCTGGCTGATTACATCCGATTACATCATTACACCTTATAAAAACCATCTATTTTGCAAGGAAATACCAAATTTGCTTGTACGTAACAGACGCTGTATGGTGTAAATAGGTCAAATGAAGCGGCAAACATGACCTTGTCCCAGTATTTGAAAATGTTTATCCGGGGGAGGTCGAAATTACGCGTTGGCGATTACAGGTTTATGATAGCGAGTTACGGCAAAGCGACCTATTATCCTTGTTTTGAGCCTACCATACTCCTGTAGAAGTATTTCCACCGTTGCAGTTTTGTTTAATATCAATTTCGAAGCCGAATAGGATTGGCGCTTGGTTCGGTTCAGGCACAAAACACGCTTAGAGCCGCGGAATACAAACGCCGGTAGCAAGTGACGCAATTTGCGGACAAAACTTTTCTTCCACTTCACGAACGAACGAATCGACTCAAGGTTTCGGGACTTAAGTTAAAATGTAGATTAGAGTGTCCACTCTCGAAAACACACAAAACTTTGGGTGTTTTAACGGCGTTATAAGGAATTAGACTTCACATTGAGTTTCAATCGGGGATTCGGACACCGACAAAACGGCCATTTTTGTACCTTTCCGGCGCTATATGTGGTACAAGAAGTCAAAAATTTTGACTGAAAACATGTACATGCCTTTCTCTGAAGGTGTTGTGTTGTTACATAAGGGTTATTTGCTGATAGGAAGTCCGTGCAAGTGGTGATTGAGCTAAACATCTTTGATTTTAAAATTTCCACATTTTGACGAACCAACCCACATGCACGCATGGCGACGCATGGCACACGTGGCATGACACGCCAGGGATCCATAGGCAGCTAATGTTTGACAAACCGTGGCTCACACTTGGAAGCGTCGGACAAACGCGGCAGCGTGACACATATTGGTTCACGCCAAATAGTATGGGAGATTGTTTTACACTTTGGATTAGTAGTGTACGCACATGTTAAATACGAGGGACATCTTTAGTACAATGAATGTTCGTTCTTGTTAATCGCGTTTGAAATGGGTTCGACTGTCTGGAAATCCGAAGCTTCTCAATGTTCCATTAAAGGATATGCACAAGAAGAAAATATACAAAGATCATTTCTCCCGTAGAATGTTTTGGAACAACACCCTGAAAAACCTGAATAGGGATGCAGAGCCTGACATCCTCGGTAATGTGACACCCCTCACTACAGACCAGCTGATGGCTGCGAGTGAAGGTGGAAGTCAATGCCATCCTGCAACAGAGAGCAGCAAGCTGCACTGTGGTGCCCAGAGTCGTGTCACCTGTTCAGCATACGCTTGGGAGAGGTCAAATTCGTGCTGTGCAAGCAGCTCACCAAGTAGTGCCTCCTGTTGGACGGGATGGCACTACTAGGCTGCAACTGGTGGCAGGTCCAAGAATGCCAGCTCCAAGGATAGCAACTCCAGCCACTCAGCTTCATGTGCCTGTCCAACAGCCAGTGTCTAGAAGACAGCAAATATTGCAGCAAGCCTATGAAACTCCTGTTCCGTCAAGAGTCAACGAGTCAACGAGTCAACGCCATCCTGCAACAGAGACCTGCAAGCTGCACCGTGAGGCCCAGAGTCATGTCACCTGTTCAGCACACGCTTGGGAGAGGCCAAATTCGTGCTGTGCAAGCAGCCCATCAAGTAGTGCCTCCTATTGCACGGCCTGGTCCTGTTCCAAGGCTCCAGCTTTTGGCAACTCCAACGGTGCCTAGTGCATCTGCTCAGCCTCCTGTTGGGTCTGACAGGCAGCCAACTGCCAAGCGGAAACTACTGCAAAGTTTTGTCTTTGTCTCTAAGAAAAAGCGATAAGGGGATTAACTGTCAATGTTTACTCAATTTACTGTCAATGTTAAAAACCTGCCAAGCTCATGTTTCATTATTATGAAACATGAGAGATCTTTGACATGTATTTTCTCCCCTTTGGTATGAGAGAGTAAAGCCATTTCTCATCAAGCTCACATTTTTGAGCAACTAAAACTTGGCAGGCTCCTTCATTCGTGTTGGTGAAAGAAAATAGGCTAATTCATTTCTGAGAGGGTAGGACTGCCACCCTTCAGGTCTGAGGGTTTGGCGGTGGGTTCTCTCTCTAAAAAAAATGTTCTTTTAAAAATGTTGTGTCATGTTACTAATTTTTTTAGCTCACCCTTCTATTTAAAGAATAGAAGGACATTTTTCTAGCAACATCTTGTTAAGGTATGTTTCTTTGTTTCAAGACGATGTTGATATGCAGGACGTGTCGGGAGGAGGGCCACGTTCGGACCAGCAGGGGCCCAGAGGGGCAGGACGGCTCGCCAGAAGTGCAGCAGGAGCAGGGGCCGGCACATCGGAGAATCCCTAGGGCCCAGGCTGCCCTGCAATGCAAGTTTATGAGCTGGAGGTAAGGCCTACGGTTATATTTTAATTCATTGTTTAAAATTTACACTGCAGACTTAACTACATACTTAGCCTGCACTTACAACTGCGAGCTTGCGAAGCTTGTGCCTAGGAACGCTTCGCAAGCTCGCAGTTGTAAGTGCGTGCTAAGTGTGTAGTTAAGTCTGCAGTGTAAATTTTACACAATGTTTGTAGTTACTGCAGCATCCAGAATTGTCTTTCGACAAAAATTAGCAAAGTAAGTTTGTTGTTCCAAATTTTCACTTTCTGAAGTGGCAGAGGATTTTAACTCTCAATCGCATTCTAGAAACTTTGCAACGACTACCTGACTTTGTTAATTTTTGTTGTAATGCAATTTATTTCCTTGTCACATTAGACATCATAACACACATCAGACTTAAGGTGTAATAATTTTGTTTTTGCAAGGGTCACAAGTCTATCTCTTTCTTTACAGCTTGAAGGCCAGCGAAACCTCAGGAGGGCCAGGGAAGAGCTCGAGAGGCTGCAAGCCCTGAGGGCCAACATTGAAGGACAAGGAGGACGAGGACAAGGACGACGGCGCGGGCGAGGAGGGCGCTGACGCGGGCGAGGCCGTGGAGGCGGCTATGTGGCCCAGGCCATTCATGAAATATTGCGTGCTGCCAATGCAGGGTAAGTTTTTTTTGTTCTTGTTTCGTTGTTGTTGTGTTGTTTTGCAGTTTGGAAGGGATTTAGTTGTCTTGGTTGGTCCCGATAAGATAGAATAAATAGGATGAATACATTCAATATGTTTCTAATCTGGTCTTTAATCAATATTGTTTATTATACAGCTATGGAAGATCCTATCGGGGACACGGTGGGCGCTGGAGGCGGGGACCGGGAGGTCGCGGCGCTCGGGGCCAACGAGCCGGCAACTCAGAATAGCTTTTTTTAAAAAATTATTTGTAAATTTTTTTGTGAGCTCAAGGAATATTTTTTTTCATATGTCAAATTTCATGTTTTTTTTATTGAAGTTTCCTTAACGCAATGCTTTGTAAAATAATATTTCATACAAAGAAATTTATTTACGAGCAACAAGTCCAAAATAGATCAATAATACCAGAAAATAAGCACACTGGCACACGGTAAAAACGGAACCTGGTTTTCCCAGGAAGCCAATGGGAAAGGCATAGGCGATTTCCAGAGAGCTCCTGAGAAAACCAGGAACCGTTCTTACCGTGCAAGTAACATGGGGGATAGAAAATTTGCACTAAGTCCAGATCGTAAACAAGGACACTGGGAAATCAAATACAAGTCCAGAAAGAAAGAAAACAAACAGTGAATTTGTCAATAAACATTTTCCGCTATCCGTCTGCTAGCTACTGCTTTTTCGTCTGCTGAGGGCCCAAATTTTTACATTTCCTACAAAAATAACATAATGCTCTTACAGCTTGGAATTTTCAGAGTAGCTTTGCTTTTGATGCAATCGTCATTTAAAATTAATATTATGGCTTCAATGCTTCTCAAAAACCAGTACTAGGGCGACCCTCTACGTCACAGCCGATTTAGGGGTATAGGCCTTCCCTGAAGACTTGCCATACCCTGCCTTATAGTTGACTCAGAACTGTGCACCTGCAGATGTGTGTGTACCTTTCTCCGAAATAAATACAATACAAATGATCAGACACAAAAGTCTTGCCATTTTGTGGCCATTGAAGCCAAATTATGGCATTTCTTTTGAAGCGCCAATTATTGGCGCAGTGGTCTGTGATGATCTTCACCTCGTTGTCACCCAGGAGGCGCTGCAAACGCCCGTCTCCTCTCCCCTCATCTGCAGCGGCTGTTTCCGAACTCTTCTCTCATCGCTCTGTCTCTCTCGCACTCAGGTGCCGTCCCGTAAGGGAGCGACAGAGATGGCGTCGGAAGCAGCGCTCAGCCGGCGGCGTGCTTTTGACGGTCACTCCCAGTCTGTCCGTGTCCGTTGACACTTCTCACAGATTGAGCCATGCAAGCCACTGACGGCCCTCCCTCGCCCTTTGAGACTTTGTCTCTCTGATGTGGTGTTGATTTTTCAGTTTGTGGCCCGAAAGGAAGGTAACATAAGAAATTTCAAGAACCGTAGTGAAGCTTCAAAGTGTACTTGAGACTTTGTCTCTCTGATGTGGTGTTGATTTTTTTAGGTTGTGGCCCGAAAGGAAGGTTACAATCGAAACTTCAAGGACTAGTGAAGCTTCGAAGTCTACGTTTGAAACGACTTCAAGGACTAGTGAAGCTTCGAAGTCTACGTTTGAAACGACTTCAAGGACTAGTGAAGCTTCGAAGTCTACGTTTGAAACGACAAGGCTAAGTGGCCAATACTACAGAGCTTTGGAGGTAAGTTTTTGGCACGTCCCCTGGATTTATTGTTGCTGAGTACCTGAGACTTTGACTCTCTGATGTGGTGTTGATTTTCCAGTTTCTGGCCCGAAAGGAAGGTTACAAAAGAAATGTCAAGAGCCGTAGTGAAGCTTCAAAGTCTACGTTTGAAATGACAAGGCCAATACCACAGAGCTTTGGAGGTAAGTTTTTGACACGTCCTCTGGATTTACTGTTGCTGAGCGAAGCGAAGCACCCTGTTTGAGATTTTGAATAGCCGCATTGTCCGAATCCCTGCCCCGAGACCTAAAGTTTACAAGAGGTTTCTTCCTGTTTATTTTTACTACTTTCACATGCGTATACACAAAGCTCCATGATCCAAGCTATAATCTCTGTAAAGAATATGGTAAGATCAGTTGCGAGAAGAGTGAAAGATTTGTCCTAGGACATGTCACGAGCCCAGTTTGAAAAGAATTGGTTGGTCAACCTAGTTTTAGCAAACAAGGTAGGTGTACGCCAGACCCGGCCAGACCGTGTCTTGTCGTAACAGGCTTCGCGATGCTGCGCCTGTAAGGACAATCCGCGCCTGGCGTTTACACCCATCTTGGCCTGCGGCGCTGGACTGCCTTCGGCAGCCAGCCCGTCTTGCCGTGGAAAAGTTTCAAAGCTGACAATTGAATAGACAAGGCTAAGTGGCCAATACTACAGAGCGTTGGAGGTAAGTGTTTGGCCCGTCCCATGGATTTCTTGTAGCTGGGAGAAGCGAAGCACCCGGTTTGGGATTTTGAATAGCCTGTGCAGAGCAGCATTGAGCTGCATTCGGTTTCATCAGTTACGCTGCACTATAAGGTCGGGTCTTGTGGCCTGACTAAGTCAAGTGTAATGGTTCCATCATGAGCATCTTGACGAAGGTGTTGGTGGCCTGAGTAAGGCTCAGGGGTTAGTCAGACCAGACCAGATTTTAGCCGGCCGGCCGCTGATGAGAGTTTGACAGGTCCTGGTGGCTCGCTCCGGCGTCGCGCAAGAATTATCAGAACCGGACTCGAACCTCGGCTTTCAGTTCGCAGGCAGTGCACCGTACCACTACGCTACGAGGCTCGCTCAGGGGAGAGCGATCTTGGAGCAGTCTGTAGCCGCACTCTGAAAACCTTACGTAGTACTTTGAGTATACATATAACAAACTAATTTACTTTGTTATATGAAGAAATAGATCGTCAATTACGAAGTATTTTCTTGGCACTCAAAATGTTCTACAGTGAAGATTCTTCATATTGTGGTGAAAATGTTCCATATTATGGTGGTGCGGCTGACTTCGCAACAAACCATTCAGAATTGATTGTACCTTATAGATATTTTGACGAATTTCGTTGGTATTATGGAGAAAATCTCCACCGTAATATGTTAGTGCAGCCTTTCACCGTAAGACATTTACAGTGAGTAAGCTTAGGTATGCTCAGAATACTTTTTGAAACTAACTACTTTTCTTTTTAAGGCTCAAAATAGTTTGTAAGGTTTTTTCAGTGCGCGCAGAGCCGCCCTCCACCCGGCCGGCCGCCCGCACTCTCATTCCAGGAACGTGACATCACGTTCAAACGAATGTGACAAAATGTCTCGTTCGTTTGCGCATTGTGTCACGTTCGTTTGAAAAGACGATGAAAAGAATATGAAAAGACTGTCGGTCGGTTTCTTGTCGCGCGTGCTCGGGCCGGTTGAAACTTGTCAGGAGTCTGAATGAGGGTGGACGACGCCGGCCAGTCAGGAGCTAAAGTAATTTGTTACCGATTCAGTGCATTGCTTGGATCTGAAAATCAAGGCTAAGGAAACCTTCACCAAAGTACAAACAGCGTGCACCAATAACCTCAACTCCACAAAGTTTCTGACTGTTGGCTGTGCTGCGGTTTTTGTTTTCACCGCGGCACGGTTCCTCTCGAAGTAACATACTGTTTTGATTATAACATGTTGACGTTAGTTGCACGTCTTCGCCAGCAAATTAAACTTTGTTTGGCGTCTTTGTGAAAGCGCGTATCGGCAACACGGGCGTCTGCATTCGGCGGGCGCAGGCCGCAGACCGGAAGTAGCAAAACGTGCGTTGATACGGTTTCCACAATCCTGAACCCGCTCAGAATAACGTAATCGCACGGAAGACTCTTCAATCATCTTTCCGAACCGACGATCATATTCATTCAAAGTAAACCTTTATTTCCGCTCTAAACCTTCTTCTTCCTGTCCCACATCCAGTAGACCTGACCTGGCGTATACTCTGTAGTGACAATGATCTCGTTGGTTGCAAGGGTTTCCCTTGAGCTACTGTTTTGCGGGATCTAGCTCGGATTCGTATACGCTGACGTTTTCCGAAACCACAGTGCGTACGCAAGGACGCGGAACGCGCGTAGTTGTAGCTCGTGAAGACGATTTGTGGTCTGCGTCGATAGGAAATTAGTAAGGTAGTTACGTTCTCTATTAAACGATGTACGTCGGAGTAAACTTCAGTAACCGTATCATACTCATGATCATATTTTTGTTTAACGGGGCTGTCATTATCGCTCGGGTGCTTTAAATACATGGAAAAAAAGGAGTAGATGAGTAGCATTTGCGTAACATCGATGGTAATCAAATTCCAGCGTAGCGACGGAATAACCCCGTGTCCGGAATAAACCCGCAATTCTTTATCCAGGCCTCGCTTCGATTTCATCCTTCATCACGCGTCGAAACATGGCCCATCATACGCCAGGTTTACGTATCAGAACCATGCGCACTTTATTTTCGTATCGAAACTATTTTAAGTGGGTTCAAATATTTGAGGTTAAACATTTGATGCGCTTTCTTTATGCACTTTTGACTAGATGAAACTGAGTGTGGCCGCTCCGTTTTCAGAGCACGGATTACTCTCAGAATGTTACTTACTTTTGCTCCATTTGTCAGGCACTAGTAAGTGCATTAGGGTGCGTCGATATGCACGACTTTTCAGATGCAGCTTTTGGGTAGCACTCAAAAGTTTCGTTTTTTTGTGCTGATTCCATAAATGACCTCGGTTTTGCGATAGGACAAAGCCTTCATGACCCTACCGGGCGTTTTATGTCAAAAAGCGGAGTTTTTGTATTTTTACTTGTTTTTTGGTTCCGCATTCCATCCCAAACTGTCGGCGCGGCTGTTGCACGGTCGGATGGCCACCGCCCACACTAAATACAAGTTTTGCAGCTTGACAGGACCACCGGACACCTCACGTGTGTGTCCCAACCCTCAATTTTCACCCTTTTTTTACAACAATTTTTCATTTTTTTCCCTTTTTTTCAGCTTTTATCGAGGATTGTACCGACCCAGTCGGTCTATACCATGACCAGAGGTTGCATAAAACAGTGTAGGGGTGCATAGAACGCAAGGCAGCCCCCGGACCGGGGCTGTGTAGGGAGGGGGAGGAGGGAGGGAGGGGAGGCGGAGAAAACAAATGCCCAAAATCGGCCAAAATCAGCTGTTTTGCCCTGTTTTGCCTGTTGGTAAATACTGTATTGAAATGCAGCTAGCTCGGCAAGTGTTTCTACCCGTTGCCTACGCAGTGGTGGGAACTGGCGCGGGGCACCGTGGGACTGTGCCGCCCCTGGCGGACGAAGGACTATGTGGGTGGGTCCGAACGGAAAAAGTGGAAAAAATATTTGTGCGGACATAACTCAGCTTCTTCAATAGTTACGTTGATTGGTGTTTGTGATTTTAATTTGTAATAGACCGTGTGAAGATGTTTACAGATTTTTAAGCCGATGAGGTGGTTTTCACATGTACATGAGACTATACATACTTTGTCACACACGTAACAAGTCGCTCCCTTCTTAGGCTCACTGCTTGCCTCTGTTGGATCCAGACCACGTCTGGAGCGCATGTGCCTGTACAAGGTTTTCTTGTGTTCATATGTAGCTGGACACCGGAGGCCAGACAAGAAATTTTTTTATAGAGAAATGATCAAAGTAGTCTAAGGCAGCCAGTGTTGTTACTCACAGTGAACATGCTTCCTTTGAGTACATCTTCACAGGTTGACCGACAGAACAGAAATGACCGATAATCGCGCGCTTTTCCCTAACATTTGTTTTGCTACTTGCTTCTTTTGTTCTGCCAACTTAATTAGGGTCAGTTGGGGTAAATATGGGACACGGGGTAAAAATGGGACAGCTGATTTTTAGTCAAGAATCGAGATTTTAGAACTTGTGCCGTAGCAAAAATTATTTTCTCAATAAAAACATCACATTTGGTATGTAATGCGTTCAAAAATGTCAAATCTTGACTAAGAATCAGCTGTCCCATTTTTACCCCGTGTCCCATAATTACCCCAACTGACCCTAGTTCGCTCCTTTTTCAAGCGGTGTTTTCCCTTCCCCGGGCCAGTTTGAAATTTCGCGTCTCACGGTGCCCCGCGCCAGTCCCCACTACTGCCGCTGGGGGCGCTCCGATCGGCGGTGCTGCGGCATCTTCCTGCGCGTATCCACTCGTAGCGGACGCGCTCCTGGTGAGTCCTGCGTAGGCAAGGGGAAGAAACACTTGCCGAGCTAGCTGCACCGCAATACAGTATTTACCAACAGGCAAAACAGGGCAAAACAGCTGATTTTGGCCGATTTTGGGCATTTGTTTTCTCCGCCTCCCCTCCCTCCCTCCTCCCCCTCCCTACACAGCCCCGGTCCGGGGGCTGCCTTGCGTTCTATGCACCCCTACACTGTTTTATGCAACCTCTGGTCATGGTATAGACCGACTGGGTCGGTACAATCCTCGATAAAAGCTGAAAAAAAGGGAAAAAAATGAAAAATTGTTGTAAAAAAAGGGTGAAAATTGAGGGTTGGGACACACACGTGAGGTGTCCGGTGGTCCTGTCAAGCTGCAAAACTTGTATTTAGTGTGGGCGGTGGCCATCCGACCGTGCAACAGCCGCGCCGACAGTTTGGGATGGAATGCGGAACCAAAAAACAAGTAAAAATACAAAAACTCCGCTTTTTGACATAAAACGCCCGGTAGGGTCATGAAGGCTTTGTCCTATCGCAAAACCGAGGTCATTTATGGAATCAGCACAAAAAAACGAAACTTTTGAGTGCTACCCAAAAGCTGCATCTGAAAAGTCGTGCATATCGACGCACCCTAAAGTGCATGCTTGGCAGGCATGCGCTAGCTAGAGCGTGCTTGCAGGCATGCTCCAGTAAGAGCATACAATGTACGCTCTTCGATTTGTAGAGTGAAATAATGACCAGTACTAAATAATAGTACCTTAAAATTGAAACACACTTAAGAGATAGTATTATACTTGCTGGAATAAATACGTAGTTACAGAGAATAAAATGAATAGCTTGCTGAGAGTGGATGGATTGTCTAGTTTGGATTCTTGCATTTTTCGTTTAGGTCCATAATGTCGGTGGAAGGGCGCCGGTTTTGGTGTGTTGATTGCGACGAAGTGGCGACGGAAAGCTGCCTGGACGAACACTGTGTGCGCAACTTCAAGGCATTGCGAACCAAGGAGGTAAGTCACGTTCCCCTCCGTCATGTGGACATACAATGAGAACGCAAGATTCACATACGTAACTAACGTTCTGTGTAAGTTTATCTTTATTTCCCAACTTTGAGAATTTTTTTGGCTAAGAAGGCCAAGGCATAGACAGTCGATACACTCTTTTCGCTCAAATTTTGGTCCGGAAACCATCACCTAAATTTGGGTTGTGTAACAATTCTCACTAAATATCGGGTGAAAAATTTATTCTTCGTTCAAAACATGGTACTCTTGAGACTCTCTTTTTCTGAGTGTAAGCGAATTGTTCACGATTCCGTGAGGGGTACCCTGAGAATGAAAAAGTCATGATCATGACCAAAGTTCGGGTGAGAAGTTCTTTATCACCCTAATTCGGGTCATGTTACTATGGAGCAATCAGGTAGCTGATACACCCTCCTCACCCAAATTTGGGCGAGGAAACCTTCCCGCCCCCGAGGTATAACGTATACCTCGCCCGAAATTGGGCATTGATCACGACTTTTTCATCATCAATGTACTCCGCCTCCCTCCGGCGATGTCGCGTCTTGTCTTACCGTACCCGACTTTGACAGGTGCAGCCCCTGCTGGACACGCTGAAACAGGAAGAAACCATCATCGCGAGGATGCGCGACATCCTCTCTGGTCTTGACCTACACCAGGAGAAGGCCTTCTACGAGCATGGCCTGCAGATAGGGCAGACTGACCGTGCCAGCCGAGCAGAGGCACTCCGCTCTGCGCTGGACATGGACGCCGGCGCCTTCGACGCAGCGAAGCAGAGTGCCTGGCTCAGCCTGGATGGTGAGTTTGCTGCCCGAAAATGTGAGCACACCAAATCACTATGTTGTTGTTTCTGCGCATAAGCTTCGCACAAAATTTAGCATGCGTTTTAAAGTGCATGACTTTGTTCGGAACTGCACGGTTAAAAATAATACCTGGTTTTCCCAGGAAGCCCTTGGTAGAGACATGGAAGATTTTCAGGGAGTTCCTGGAAGAAACAAGGTTCCGTTTTTACCGTGTGAGCACGAAAGTGCGTTGTTGCGCTTGAAATTCGTGCACATTGAAACGCATGCTCAATTTTGTACAGAGTTTATGCACAAAAAAGTTGACAAAATTTTAGTGTGGGATCTTTTCTAGGAGATCCACACGGAAAAAAAGCTGTTGGTCGTCACGATCGGATGTACTCAGTTGTCGTTACAGTGATTGTGGGCATCGAACGGCTTGATTCAGACAACCAACTAGCGTATTTATCCTCTTACAAGTCACTTGGTCGGCCCGAGCCGATCGTCACAACCGACCGCTCTGCTCAAGGAAGTTCGGTTCTGAGAGTCGAGGTTTCACGGACCTGCCGCTTGGTGGCGGCGTCCCCGTTCGCCTATTAGTATTTCCGATTTATGTTACTCAAGTAAATAATTTTCGCAAATAATGTTGTCTGTTGCCTCGGTAAATATGTTCTCTAGCCGTCAGCTAAAAGTTCTGAACAAAATATTACACTGAAGTCGAGAAGAACGCATTTTCATGTTGCCTCTCGCTGGCGTCTACGTTCGGTCAATAGGTTAGGTTCAGGCATGATCCCCAACCACTTGTCTTCTGCTCAATCGGGCAGAGAGCGACGGTGCGGCGTCTTCGCCGTGCCTACTCATTCATTTTTGATTGTGATGCCAGTTTCGGATCACAGTGTAAGAAACACTACATTTGCGAGGATCACAGACCAAGTTGAAACAGTCTGCTGAGCGTTGCATAGAAATTCCCCACGAACGAGATATCGGCTGAAGTGTCAGATGAGTTGGTTCTCTCAACCAACTTTCTGGTCGTCTCGAAGAGGCACTAAAATCATACCTTCCCTGCATCTGATGGACGACGGTTCTAGGATACCTTATTCTTGGTTGTCACAATCAACACAGTCGTTCTGATGGCCAGCTTGCCTCAGCTCGGTGACATGGTTCTCACGATCAGAAATCCGGTAGTCCCCCAAGCTATCGAAAAAGATGGTCGTGGCGATCGAGATTCGGTCGCCACGACCACGGATTTTTTTCCGTGCAGGCTGCATAGCTGCCTCTGAAACGACACGAATATATCTTGTTTCTAGAGATGGTTCCTCAAACCGTGTAACTGAACTGATATTAAAGGCACAACTACACTGCGAACCTAACTGTCAACTAAGTACACACTTACAAATGCGTGCTTGCAAGTACTCACTTACAAACGCATGCTTGACGCATGGAGTTATATGGCGTCAAGCATGCGTTTGTAAGTGTGTACTTGCAAGCATGCATTTGTAAGTGTGCACTTAGTAGACAGTTAGGTTTGTGGTGTATGCCCTGACGTGGCGTCAACGGTTTACACCCCTAGAAGGACATAGGCCAATTTATGCCCTCTGGAGGGTTGCGTAGGAGTTCTAGGCAAAATTTTAATGTCATCCATACACAGACATGACCCTGTTACGCCTGTTAGGGCGTTGTCGTTTTATTATGCCTTTGTTTTAACAGTGTGCCTACGCCACGAGCGTCTTTCGTAGCCTGTGTGCTGAGAAGTCCCTTGAACAATTTATCGAGGAACGTTTTCTCGTTTTGCTTTGGCGTTTTTAACTAAATTGATCAAAAGAGGCTTTAGATGGGCAAATGTTTTCGTGTGGGGAAGATTGAAAATTCAGTCTGACGACACCGATTATGTCTTTTTTAAGGCCTGGGTTGGTTCGCCAAGATGTGGGAATTTGAGGCGCGCGATTTCCAAGATTTTAATGTGCGGCTTTTCGGATGAAATTTTGCAGGCTCATTCAAGATGGCTCTAGAATGGTCCCCAAGAAATATCAAAGCTCAATTCGTTCCAGTTTTGTTTCAAATGGCTTAAATGTTGAACGCGTACTTTGGGTCGATGTTTGTTACACGCGCGTCGACGTTTGTTACATTTGCGTCGACGTTTGTTACACGCGCGTCGACGTTCGTTACATTCAAGTGGTTTGGGTGGAATTTCAAAGTGGACAAAACTGACATCTATTTATAGAAATCGATTCGTCTGATCAGGACAAACAAAAAATCCTAACATATGTAATAGGCTTGGATGCGAAATAAACAAGTATTTAAGCTTCAAAAGTGCAGTAACAGGCGTCGACGCCGGGGTCCTGGCTGATTACATCCGATTACATCATTACACCTTATAAAAACCATCTATTTTGCAAGGAAATACCAAATTTGCTTGTACGTAACAGACGCTGTATGGTGTAAATAGGTCAAATGAAGCGGCAAACATGACCTTGTCCCAGTATTTGAAAATGTTTATCCGGGGGAGGTCGAAATTACGCGTTGGCGATTACAGGTTTATGATAGCGAGTTACGGCAAAGCGACCTATTATCCTTGTTTTGAGCCTACCATACTCCTGTAGAAGTATTTCCACCGTTGCAGTTTTGTTTAATATCAATTTCGAAGCCGAATAGGATTGGCGCTTGGTTCGGTTCAGGCACAAAACACGCTTAGAGCCGCGGAATACAAATGCCGGTAGCAAGTGACGCAATTTGCGGACAAAACTTTTCTTCCACTTCACGAACGAACGAATCGACTCAAGGTTTCGGGACTTAAGTTAAAATGTAGATTAGAGTGTCCACTCTCGAAAACACACAAAACTTTGGGTGTTTTAACGGCGTTATAAGGAATTAGACTTCACATTGAGTTTCAATCGGGGATTCGGACACCGACAAAACGGCCATTTTTGTACCTTTCCGGCGCTATATGTGGTACAAGAAGTCAAAAATTTTGACTGAAAACATGTACATGCCTTTCTCTGAAGGTGTTGTGTTGTTACATAAGGGTTATTTGCTGATAGGAAGTCCGTGCAAGTGGTAATTGAGCTAAACATCTTTGATTTTAAAAGTTCCACATTTTGACGAACCAACCCGCCTTCCAAGTTTCCAGAGTACCAGTTTGAAGCGTTAGGCCGCCAAACGTCAAACTTGCGTTGTCATTTGCAGATGATTTTCGACAAGGAGCATCGCTTCTGTTGACTTATCTGGAGGATCCTACCACTTTGCTGAGTGTGAATTTGCATCGCAGCGCCGGGAGTGCTGAACCTGCTATGGTAAAAGCTGATAGTTAGCTGGGCACCTGAAACTGTCGCCGTGAAAAGGTTTCAGCTCACTGCTTCATGTTTTTCGCAGTTTTTTTTTAATTACAATTGTTTTATTATCTTTTGTTGTGGTACAAAATGGTACATAGAATCGTCACATTTTACAATTGTCGTCTCATTGGAGAAGTTTACTTATTTTTATTATAACTTCATGGTTGGACCAGAACGAAAACGTTACCATCAAACTAGCATTATGTGCAGGCAATGCAAAGTTATGCTACTTTGCTAACCTTATTTCAGGTATTCAAAATCTCAGTTGATTTATGGGAAACGCAATGAGTTTTGTTTTGAATGTTGAAGAAAGTTTGTTTTTATGGTTTAACCGTCCCTAAATTTGATGGCCCACGCAATTCTAAACAAGTGCAACATAGACCGCGAAAAACTGAAGATGATTCCCTCTTCAATCTAGGCGATCAGAACCTATCTGTCCACTGTCTTAACAAAAAAAATTCTTACTTTGCAGATTTCCTTCAACCAGATTTTTTCCCTATCAGACTACAAAACAGCCCAAGTTCTTCTATGCCAGTTGGTGTCCGATGGACTTACTTTGCAATGCAGGGCGAACGATCAGCATGACACTAGGAAAAATGATGATCCAACACAGGATGAAGTTCAGCCGGAGACATGTACAGGAGACCAAATGGAGGACGAAACTGTTCAAGAAGAGGCAGAAGAGCAGACGGTAGACGGTAATGAGGAACGGATGGAGGAAGAGGAACCGGGGATACACTGTAAGTTAGGAGAGTATTTGTAAGCTCGTTTAGCTGCGCTTCGCTTACCCGTTTGCTCTACACGCCCTCATAATTACAGAAAGTTTATAACCAGGTTCGAGATAAAAGAATCATTTCAACTTATCAAACTGGACTTACCCACTTATTCCGCTTCCTTGATCGTTCGTAAATTCCGTGGTATTTTCTTTGTCAGCTTACGTATCTCCAATACACAGCGCTATAATAAGCTACCTTTCTTTGTAAGGCAAGAGTAAGGTTTTGAGAGAGCATATACTTTTCTAAACTCCTGCCAGGCATGCACATCTGCATGCCTGGGAGGCACACACTTCTTTGCCGCATGCCTCAGGCACACACTTGCCGTCGCTAATGCATGCATACAAGCAAGTGTGTGCCTGAGGCATGCAGCACAGAAGTGCACTGAAAACGTAATGGTCGGACACACGGCCAAATTATGGCGTGACAAAAAGTCACGTCAAAAATTGGCGTGACACGAAATTCACGCCGATAGACGGCGTGACTTGTGAGACACGCCGTCATTTGGCTTGAACGGCAACGCGTTTCATGAGACAAGTCATGCCAAAAAGCGGCATGATGAAATTCACACCAAAAATTGGCGTGAATTTTTGAGTCTCGCCGATTTTTTGGCGTGACTTTTCTGTCATGCCGTTAAATGGCGTTACACTTCACGCCCCTGCAGTGGCACGAAGTCACGCCGATAGATTTTCAGTGTGTGTGCCTGCCAGGCATGCAGAGAGGAAGTGTGTGCCTGCCGGCATGCACCAAGAAGTGCATGCCTGGCACACACTTGAGTTTGCAGAGTTCATATGTACGGGATGTGCCCTTACAGTTCAGGCGACGTGGCTGGAACAACGCAACGAAGGCCTGTGGACGGGTGAAGACACCATCACCAGATTGAAGGTTGGATCTCGCGTGGCGCCTGGCCTTGACTTGGGTAAAGCTCATCACCAATACGACCGGGGAGGACACGGTACAATCACTTCTTTGTACTCTGGACTGGAGAGAATCAAGGTGAAGTGGGACCTCGATACTCATTCCTCGTCCTATGCAACGAGGGAGTATTGCATGTCGTTGAAGTACGGAGACTCATGGTCGCACCGTAAACGTTTTGATCTGCAGCTGCTACCAGTCCCACTTAAGGTAAGCAACACTTTTAGGCTGTGTTTTTGTTACCAACGCGCAACTACGTAAAGGGTAAAGCATTTTTTAAATGTCAACGTTAAGTGCACTTTAAATTTCAATTCAGTTTTTCGTGCACAAGCTTCTTTCTAAACTGTGCATGCGTTTCAAGATGCACGAATTTCATGCTCAACAGCACACGCATTGAACTCTTGTGGACTTTCCTAATGCATAGTTATGCATGCACAGGTACGTACGCAAGGTGTCTTTCATATTATGCATGACTGTGTACATTTTATGCTGAAGGATGCATAAAATGTGCACAGTGATGGATAATATCACACATACCTTTCGTACGTATCTTCTCACTCATAATTATGCATAAAAAAAGTCCTCAAGAATTTAGTGTACACATTTGTGCCTTTGGAACGCGTGCAGTTTCGTGCAATGCTCATACACAAAACACTGTATAATAATTATTGTGCGTAAATCTGACGTTTGATTCATAACGAATTTGATTATACCTGCGGCAGAGTTTATTCAAGTTCTGACGCTCCACGGAATTACTGACGTTAAATTTACTTTGGGTCTGGTTTAAATTTTGTTTGTTACATATTTGATTTTGATTTGATACAAATCGTCCACTTTTGATACAGATCGTCGCAGTGGAAACACCGAATATTGCAATTGATTCAGGACTCTCAACGAGATGAACATAAGTTGTCAACACAGGTCACTGATTAATTTCAATTTTCTAGGTTCCGCTGGCCTCGGTGCCGAGTCCATTGCCGAAGGAGAAACACATGAATCTGGAGACCATGAGCGCTGATGCGAAGGCAGTTGGCAGGACCAAATTGGCTCTTGAGAACGTAAGTTTGACCAAAGAACACGGTTTAAGTGTTTCTGGTGTACACTGCAAATCCAAGTGTGGGACAGTCCCACACCCTCAGATTCTTATGATGAAAGGGCCATCGTAACATTCACTGCAAACCTAACTGTCTACTAAGTGCACACTAACAAATGCATGCTTGCAAGTACACACTTACAAACGCATGCTTGCAAGTACACACTTACAAACGCATGCTTGCAAGTACACACTTCCAAAGGCATGCTTGCAAGTACACACAAACGCATGCTTGACGCCGTATAACTTTATGCGTCAAGCATGCGTTTGTAAGTGTGTGCTTGCAAGCATGAATTTGTAAGTGTACTTGGCCAAGCATGCGTTTGTAAGTGTGTACTTGCAAGCATGCATTTGTAAGTGTGTACTTAGTAGACAGGTTTGTAGTGTACGTTGAAATGAGAACATACGTACTACAATAAAGTTCATGCGGAATACGATGAAATTCATGCGTTTTACGACGAAATTCATGCGTATTACGATCAAATTCATGCGTAATACGATGAAAAATTGAGCATATTACGTATGTGCAAATTTATGCGTACCTTACGATGAAAAACCATCGTAATACGTTTATAAAAGGATCATAAGATGTTGAGTGTGCACACTTGGATTTGCCGTGTAACGTATCCCACAGTTTTAGGCATGTAGTAGCAGGGTGTTCCTACATCCCTCTGCATTTGCCCGTGTGCTTTCTTTCCGTCTGACAGAGTTTCTTCCTGACAGGACAAGATTGTGCTGGGCCTGCACTGTGACTTGGCCCCCGACTGGAGCCGGGTGGTGCTGGAACGGACGTCGTCGACTCTGGAAGAGCTTGAGCTGGTGTCTGCGCAGCGAGAGCACATGCGCGTCGTGAGCGAGATGCCGCGCCTGCGGTCGCTGCACTTGCGCGGGGCCGGCCTGCAGGACGCCTCGCTGCCCTTGGGGCTGCAAGAGCTGCGCATCGCCCACGTGACGCTGGAGCAGCTGGTGCAGGTGGCGAGGTAAGGACAAGGGGAAATTACTGTGAATTTCGGCGTACGAATTCAATGAAGTTTAGTCACATTTCGATGGAATTAAGTCGAATTTCCGTTGAATTTTGACGAATTTCTGTTAAATTTCGATGAATTTCAGTGGAATTTTGACGCATTTCAGTCAAATGTTGATGAATTTTCATGAATTTCGATTTATTTCAATGGGTTTAGATGGATTTCAGTGAATTTTACATGATAGATGAATTTTGGTGAACAAATGTGGCTGGAGTTATTTCCCTTGGGTAAGGAGTCACCAACTGGAAATGCCTTACAGTGTCCGAAATTTAATGTTGATGAATTGCAGCCAAATTTCCTTAAATTTTGGTATTAACTTCATTGGTAAAACTTTTGTTGTAACTTAATGACACATTTACTGTTTACTTTTTGTAACGGCACGATTTGTTTTGGAACTAATAGCTTGTTGGATCACTGTCGTATTGCAACGTAAGGATATTCCCCAACGACAAACTTGTAACAAAACAATTTACAGTTCGCCTCCTGACACAAGTTGTGGACCACCAACAAAGTTTGTCAGAGAGCAACAAGTATTGAAGTTGTCTAAAAAAAAAAGATAGTATTGTCTGCGTCATATATTGATTGAGTTCTTTTGTCGCTAACTTAATTTTGCTTAGTTTTACTCCTAAAACATAGGAATTTCCATATGACTTTGAAATAATACAATTGATAATGATTCTTATATCATTTGACTCTTACTTTAATTAAGTCACTCACATACTAGCACGAATGGTGAAAACAAGAGGTTTGTTCTTCTACGAGAAAATGTCACTCTCTGGGTTCAACGACATTTGTTTCCCTTTAGTCCATGATGACATTCAATGTCTTCGAATGGCTAAATTTTCACTCCTTTGCCTGTTTCTGTACAATCATTTTTAGCAGTGTTAACTGCATAGCCTAGCTGTCTGTCTTCTACGTTCACACTTACGACTGCATGCTTGGAAGTCACATAAGAATGTATACTTTACCTAGAAAGCGCAGACAAGTGCATACTGCTTAATGCATTTGCACGGGTGTTCTTGTCAAGGTATGCGTTTTTTGTTTTTGTTTTGGTACTTAATGGCATGCATTTTTTAGTGTGTTCTCTGCAAACTCATCAGTGTACTCAATACAGTCTCTCTAGGGTGCACTCTCGAGAGTACTCTCTTCAGCGTGTACTGACGACGAGTACACTTTCCACAGCGTGTGCTCACGAGCACACTGAACTGTCTATATTTCTAGGATCTGAGCACACTCTTTCTATAGTGTACTTATCTAAGCTCACTCTTGTTATAGTGAACTCATCTAAGCTCACTCTTGTTATAGTGAACTCATCTAAGCTCACTCTTGTTATAGTGAACTCATCTAAGCACACTCTCAGAGTGTACCCATCTAAGCACACACTCGTTATAGTGTACTCATTTAAGCACACTCTCAGAGTGTACCCATCTAAGCACACACTCGTTAAAGTGTACTCATCCAAGCACACTCTCGTCGGAGTGTACTTGTGAGTACGCTGAACAGAGTGTGCTGAGCACACTGTTGAGTTTGCCGAGCACTTTTGGACAGTGCGGTTTGTAGTGTGCGCCCCTTGACTTGGCCGCTGCTTGGTTCCCAGGATGCCCGCGCTGCTGCGCCTCGAGGTGCACTGCCCGTTCGACGCCCCTCTGCCAGTGCTGTCGTTCCGACCGGCCGCGCCGGGGACAGGCCTGCGCTGGCTGCGCACGGGCGTCTACCCGCTCAGCACCGCGCTGTCGCTCATGGCCGCGCACGCCTCCACACTGCAGGTACGGTGTTGTACACTGGTAAAACTAAAGCGTAGTATTACCCTCTGTTTTCAAGCGTAATCAGATTACGCTTGAAATCAAGCGTAACAGGCTCATCCGACAAGTTTCCCCCTATCCAAATGCATGGGGGATTTTCCTGAGTATGCTTCATTTCAAGCGTAACGTCTTCAAGCGTAACTTTATGCTTGACTCAAGCATAGAGTTACGCTTTAGTTTTACCAGTGTAGTTCTAAGCATGGTGAGAAACCGCATACCAAGGTTGCAGAAAGGAATTCGGTGTGTGTCCTCTTAAGCCATGCATGTAAGTCTTAACCACGACGCTTGCCTGCAAGTACAACGCTAAAAATCCATTTTCATCGCAGTGTTCTTGCTTATAACCATGCAAAAATATATAAAGCCTGTGGATAAGACACGTAGGCTATTTTCAAGTAGTTCCTGCGAAAACTATGAACCGATTGTGCCCTGAACTTGTAGTCACACTCTATGTAAGCGTGTGGCTGGCAAATGTACACGTCTCAGTTTCTACAGATTCCGGAGACACTTTTCCCAAATGCTGACGCTTTCTTATCTTCACCCAGGAGTTGGAGCTGGTGGCGTCGACGTCGGCGCCGTACGGCTGCAGCGACCTGGCCGCCCAGCTGCAGCGCTGCGGGCTCGTCTCGCTGCGTCGACTGGTGCTCCTGCGTGCCTCCGCGTCCGGCACCGGGCTGTGCACCCACGAGGCGGCGGCCTGCGAGCAGCAGAGGGTGCAGCTCTGGAAGATGTTCGTGGAGAGCGGCGCCATCGTGACCGTGCTGTGCAGCGAGTGCGTCTAAGGGACTTTGCAGCGAGTGCGTCTAAGGGACTTTGCAGGGAGTGCGTCTAAGGGACTTTGCAGGGAGTGCGTCTAAGGGACTTTGCAGCGAGTGCGTCTAAGGGACTTTGCAGCGAGTGCGTCTAAGGGACTTTGCAGCGAGTGCGTCTAAGGTACTTTGCAGCGAGTGCGTCTAAGGGATTTTGCCGCGAGTGCGTCTAAGGGACTTTGCAGCGAGTGCGTCTGAGGTACTTTGCAGCGAGTGCGCTTCAGGGACTTTGCAGCGGGTGCGTCTGAGGGACTTTGTAGCCAGTGAGTAAGAGTCTCTCCGCTCACTCACGGAACTTTAACACTCTCTGTGGTCAACAGAGGTCTTGAAAGTTTATGTTTAATCTAACCGCCTGTCTTGTGTAACTGAAACGCGAGTTGTATCATGTGCTGCCATCCTGTAACTGTTTATTCTTCGCAAGAAGAAATAGGTAGTTTTCGTGGCAAGTACAGTTCTGTCAAGTTTAGGTTTAAAAGTTCGTGACTTATATGTTTAATTTGAAAACAAGGTCTATTATGTTTTGTTACCTTCATTCCGCACAAGAAGGAGTATAGAGTTTTGGGGTCAATGGTGTTCTTTAGAATTTAAGTAAAAAAAAAATGGTGGCTCTGATTTCTTTCATTTCAACGCAAGCTGCATCCAATATTCTGAGGCAAATTCAGTTTTTTTCCCATAGACACTGTTTCTGTAGAGCGGCCTCTTTTGTTTCATGATTAAGGTAAAATGCATCATGTATCTTTATCGTGGGAATGTGTTGATTGTACACAAGAATCAATGTATCATTAACTGTCGCCGACACTCCGTGTTTTGTAGTTACGCCCAGGAAATAAAAAGATTGATTAGTCTGTCTCCAAGCTCCTTGCGCTGTGTTTTTGATTACGTTATCTCCCGATTTATCCATCACACCACACATGAAGGTACCGTCAACAGGGGTTACTTGGGACACTTTTCACGTTTTTTGAACGCCAGAGGCAAGATTCTCAACCCAGACCATTGGATCCTAACTATGTTAAAGTTTGACCCTTTCCCCATGATTTCATGCTCGTCTGGTTCATTTGCCTTCAAATGTTTACAAGCGGTCTCGAAAGTGTGTCCCAAGTTACCCCATGACCGGGGGAAACTTGGTACAGTAGGTAATAAGCTACATTCCCATGCATCTATTGATGTTGATGGATGCAATAAATTTAAGTCACAACATGTAGACCAAGAATTCAGGCCTAGGAACACTTGTAGGACCGATATTGGACTATATCTAGGGCTCTGCGTGGAACTCTCTTTTCCACTGTTGTTTTCCAGGCATTTTCTGAAAATTTTGAAATTTGGATTACTAGAAGTAGAAGACAAAACTGCAGAGCAAGGCATCTCTTTCCATCATCAGCGTAAAATCCGAAGTTAAAGTTATGTGAGAGACCGGGTCAGTCGACTCCTAGGAGGCTAGGACTGCTGGAAACATGAGGAAAAGACTGTCCCAAGTTACCAACCCCGTAAAATTTAGATTTTTGATAAATTGGAGTCCGGACCGAAGATGGGAAACGCCCTTTTGCGAACGTTATTGTCTGTGTATGATCTAACAACCCAGAGAGACTAACCGGCGAAATCTGCATTTCAATCCTTGCACTGGGGTCAACTTGTCAGTGTTTGACATATTTTGTCAAAAACCCTATTATGACGTTTCCTGTTTCTCAAATACTAATTGTGATATTATGCACCTTTTCCACCTTTCCGCGCGTGCCCTGAGGCCTCTGAAACAAAACCCTGTAGGGGGTTTGACGCTAGGAACCCCCGTCGCTGAATGGCAGTACCAACAAGCTGTACAGGGCAGACTGTCCCTAGTTATTCCCGGTGTCCCAAGTTAACCCCGTTGACGGTAATTCAATCCTTTTAAGTGCGCCAATCTCTCTCTATTCCCAATAACATTCAAATGACAAAAAAGTCTTATATCAAAGAACGTTTATTGCATAGCAGAACACAAAGGTAAACAATTGAATATATATTGAACTGACGAGGACAAGTTATCTCATCAGCTGATGAGCCCGAAGCAGCGTTCACGCGTCAGGATTCGGCTTCAGGGGTAGCATCAGAACGTTCCGAAGATGGTGTACTCGAAACACTTCCACTCAATTTGGTTGCACGTACCGCACAGCACCTGTTCACAAATACGTATGAGAATTAACATCAGCACGGACGCAAAAAACGTGCAACAGGGGTTTAGTCACTTGTTCACGCTAAATTCTTATGGACATTTTAAATGCATAAGGACACATTTTTTAAGCATAGTTAGGCATGCGCAGAAACGTCCATAAGGTATGTATAAAATTATGCATCACTGTGTACATTTTATGCTTTTTCCCGCATAAAATGTACACAGTGATGCATAATATTATACATAACATATGGACGTGTCTGTGCATGCATAACTATGCATAAAAAAGTCCATAAGAATTTAGTGTGTTGGAAAGGTCTTCCTCACACATGATTCATAATTTCCCAAAATAGCTATAAGCATGGGGAAGAGAAAAGGTTACGACTGCTTGCCCCTAAAACGCAAATTAATGAAGTTATGCACGATGTGCACCTTCCTCGAGGGACCGCTTGCCTTTTCGTTTCCGTCCTACTGCCCTATATAAATGGGATGAAGGCTTTCCGAACAGGACGAATATCACTTTCGTCTTGGAGGGGACTTTTCGTGTCAACATCGAAAATTAAAGGAAAAACGCACTGCGGAAAGTAAAAATGCCTTTTCTTCTGTTGAAGAACCGTTCAATCTCCATCAACATACGAAAATCTCCGTAAAAACAAGGAAAATTTACGGAGAAATACCCTCCGTAAAAATAGGGAATATTTAAGGAGTCTCCATTTCCAAAATGAGAGAAACTTTATCCGTAAATTTGTGCACTGAATTTCTGTCAATGTCCCTCACTTGTCTCAAAGATGGCCCCAAAAATCTTCGATACTGTTAAAATAAATTTGGTCTAAGCCTCTTAAAGTTTCAAGTTATTATCCAAATTTCCCACATTTCCAAATAACTGGATTCGCATTGACCGGAATTCCGCGGTTTCCTGTAGTTCAATAATTTGAAAATGAACATTTAAATGTAATGAAAATACATTTTACAATAGGACAATGTGAACGTCCGAGCGGGAACAAAAATCGAACTCCGTCGGATAAGCTCAAAATTGCAAACCTCCTCGGACGAAATAAAATGTTCCACACTCTGGAAACCCTAGCTACCATCTTAGGCCTTGCATAGAAAAAATACTTGTTATAAGGAAGTATTTTGAGCATACATAAGCTTACAAAGAAAATATTTCGTCATTTACCGACGATTTTCTTCGTATAACAAACTTCAATACATTGCAACTTGCATGTGCTCACGATACTTCGTAGGCTTTTCAGCGTGCTTAAAATTTAAAGTGTAAAAAACAATTAAACTCTCACCTGCGGGACAGAAGGCAGCGCTCGGCGAACGGCGCTCAGCTGGGCGGCGCACTGCGCCTCGTCGTGCGTGAAGTCGCCGCAGAGCGTCATGACGGGTTTGTGCGGACGGCGCAGGACGAGGCGGCGCAGCGCGCTCAGGTTGCACTGCCGAAGCAGGTCCGCCAGGTCCTCTGCACCGCAAGTCCAGGGCCAGCCACGGCTGAGAGGAGACTGCAACACAACGACGACAATTTACAAAAAAAAAAATTGATACGCTTTTAGCTTTAAAAGTCCCACGGAGCATTTTCATCCCGAACAAAATGCTTGCCATCGGTGTTAAGAATGCACAGCTTTCCACAGGAGGAAATTATTAGTGTATCTAGACCTAGCTTTCATTATTATACGCTGTTAAAAATAATCGTAAATTTACGACATTTTGTAGAACAATTATGTCGTTTTTAAACGACATATTTTGTTACGACTCAAGTCGTAAATATACGACTTGAGTCGTAAATGTACGACATATTTGACTCTAATTTTGATAGCGACACGTTTCGTGTTAAAACGAATTAAGTCGTAAATTTACGACTTAATCGTAAGTTTACGAACAATCGTAAATTATCTTTGGAATATGTCGTGCAGTTATGACTTCAGTCGTACATTTACGACTCTTGTCGTAAATTTGTGTCATGAATCGTAAATGAACGACACAAATCGTAAATAAGAGAGCAAACTTGTGACTTTTCACCAACTTTCCGGGGACTTCAGGTGTCAAAATATGTAATCGTGATTACGACATTGTCGTAGAGAAATGATTTTTTAGTCGTTCAGTTACGACGAAGTAGTTTAAGAACGATTTCCGTCGCTATGAAAATTAGCGACTTTTTTGTCGCTAATTTACGACAGAATTTCTAACAGTATACATAACTCCTCGAGTGGACGAAACTGAAGGCAGCTGCATGCACCTTCCTTATAAAAGATGAGAGTAAGGGAGTGTGAGTGAGTCAGAGAGTGTCAGTGAGTGAGTGAGTGAGTGAGTGAGTGAGAGAGAGAGAGAGAGAGAGAGAGAGAGAGAGAGAGAGAGAGAGAGAGAGAGAGAGAGAGAGAGAGAGAGAGAGAGAGAAAGGGGGGAAGGAAACGAGCTGAAACGTACGTGAGGTTGACCCGTGGTGCCGACGAAAATCTGCAGCTCTCGCAGCGAGGCGCCGTAGCGACGGACCAGGTCAAGCATCGGGTCCCGAGGGAGGCACACTCTGAGCCACAGCAGCCGCGTCGGAGAGTCCGCAGGGTCCAATGGAGGCAGGGCTGGCAGCTCCGGCTTGTCGCAACCATCCTGTCCGGACAAGACTGGGAACCAGTAGTTGACCTGCGGACAGCGTCGCCAGAATAAATAAGTTATCAATAATACACGAAGAATTGAGTGGTCATCGGACAGAACAACCTAATTTCAATGGGTTTCCTATGTGACTTACGTCCTTACGCCCAATGGCCACTGAATTAAGGCGATGTCGTAAGGGCAACGTTAGACCGGCTCAAATTTCCCGAAGGTTCGAAATGTCGATGCGCGGAAACGGAATTCGGTTCCTTTTCGGATTCTAAGACTCTGAGAATTTTTTGGGATTTTTGAGGTCACCGGAAGTGGTCCCGCACGGCAGGGTAAGTTAGGCGCACTGCTTATTGATAGACCAGCAGTAAAGCGGCCTTAATATTCATTTTACGGTCATATTCTATGAAACAAAAGTTGTCAGAAATGGTCAAATTAATAAAAATATGAAATGTCTGATTTCCAAAACTCAAAATTTGCAATCTGGGTGCCTACCTGTAAGGGGTAACTGTCTATTTTAGCTCGGAACCTCAAAATGAAATGGATCAAGGCGTAAAACTGTTCGACAATCGATTTGGCCCTTCTGGTGGTGGCATTTTGAGTGCCCAATCTCCATCTGGTCCAGCGGATTAATTGGGGGCCTTAATGAGTATTGACTTGTTTGCGTTTGGGCGCCCGGATTGTGGCTAAGCTCGGTTTCTTTTCGTTTTACTCGGTGATTTCCGAAGATTCAATCCCTGACATAGTATTAGCGCGGAAACTAGGACAAAGCCACACGGCGAAGGGCTGGAGCGCGGTGATGCGGGGCACTGCGAGGAAAGTCTACTTAAAACCGGAAGGAAGACCGTTAGTATTTGAGTGAAGGATGGGAGAGTGACGTAAGTGTCGTTTCATATTGAAGCAAGTATACATCTATTGGTGCATTTCATCAATGAACACTGCTCTACCTGGGAGTAAGCTGTGAGCTCAAGAACAGTCTACCACATTTAAATTTGAGACTGCCATATCAGTACGTAAAGAGTAACGCGCCAAGCGAGTTTTTACGACGGCTTTTGATGAGAGTCAAACGAAAAGCTCGTCCTCTTCTGAATCTGCTTAGCAAAGTCAACAGTCTATTTAATACGCACTCTTCGGGGGCACCCATGGGCGGGTAGTACTCAATTCAACACACTTACAATAGAAAGCACTCAGTTGTGCCCTGGGAGTATGCTCAAATGAGTTAAGGCTCGTGGCGATCAATCTATTGGTCGAAACAAAAGCTTCCGAGTGGGATGAATCTCTTAGACTATAGGAAGCTCTTGCGAAATGACCTGGTCCATGCGAATGTGCGTTGATTCAGTTAAGATCGGTTGGAGATAGGGAAATCAAAATCACAATGAAAGTAATCTTGTTCAGAATAATATTTTAGACTTCAAAGACTAAAGCCCTGTCCGTCTGGAGTTGTCTTCTCCGTTCTCGCGCTTTTATCTCCGCGATTGAATATTCCGAAAGCACCGAGTAAAACAAACAGAAAACGAGCTATTTGCCACAAACTGGGCGCCCAGGCGCAAACAAGACAATATTCTTAACGACCCCCAATTATCCCGTTAGACCAGAAGAAGATTGGGCACTCAAAATAGCATCACCAGAAGGGCCAAATTGATTGTCGAACAGTTTTACGCCTTAATCCACTTCATTTTGAGGTTCCGAGCTAAAATAGACGCCAGTGACCCCTTACAGGTAGGCACCCAGATTGCAAATTTTGAGTTTTGGAAATCAGACATTTCATATTTTTATTAATTTGACCATTTCTGACAACTTTTGTTTCATAGAATATGCCCGTAAAATGAATATTAAGGCCGCTTTACTGCTGGTCTATCAATTAGCAGTGCGCCTAACTTACCCTGCCGTGCGGGACCACTTCCGGTGACCTCAAAAATCCCAAAAAAATCTCAGAGTCTTAGAATCCGAAAAGAAACCGAATTCCGTTTCCGCGCATCGACATTTCGAACCTTCGGGAAATTTGAGCCGGTCTAGGCAACGTCACAATCAAAGGCACAAGTATACACAACCGCTGCTAACTCAAGAGTATAGTGAGCTCAGTACACTCTATTCAGTGTGGGCTAAGCCTAGTATAATTCCTAAACCTTGGTTTCAAACCAGTGCAAAAGCTCGTATCAGGAACAATATCGATGGTAAGACACCCACATGATTAGACGACGTTTCAACATCCTGCCTTGACGCTGACACTCAAAAGTCTGCGAAGCACCTGCTTTACTACGCGAAGGAAACGAAGGCATAGTGACATTTCTTTTTGAAGGAATGATTCGTACGAGGGGCAAACAACTTCGTCAAAATTTGTAGACCGTTATTTCAAAGGTATTTCAATGTTATTTTGCGCCAATTCACGCTTGTTCACGGAAAATGTACACCAAAATCCAAGTTGCCCTTGGGTTCGTATAAAAATGGGATCTCACCTCGAGGCGCAGGAGGCGCTTCAGAGTGGGCAGCAGCAGCCAGTGCTGCTTGCTGGCGTTCCAGATGTCGAGCTCCTCCAGGAGAGGCGCGGCAGCCTTGAGCAGCTTCAGCACCCAAGCGGGGTCTCTGTCGCAGTAGACGGGCATCAGCCGGCGAACCTGCGCGGGAGGAAAAGACAATTTCAGGCCGACACACTGTTGTTCAACGAAGGTGTGACGTCATGACGGTCATGTCACTTAGAACAGGGGGTGGCACCGCTGTACACTTATTCTCTCTGCAAACGCAACTGTGTGCATGCACACTGTTTTAAAGAGTGCGCATGCAGGCACGCTATTTTCAACAGTGTGCTTGCCAGGCACTCACTTTGGAACAGCGTACCTGACTGATACTGCATGGGTCCTGGTCACCCAATTCGAAACTGTGTGCCTACATGCACATTTGTGTGCACATGCACATTTGTGTGCACATGCACATTTGTGTGCCATGCACACACTTGCGTTTGCAAAACTGACACCATGTCCCCCCCCCCAAAAAAAAACAACAAAAAAAAAACGAAAAAAACATGAATATATAAATTATGACACTTTTCAAGGCGATACTCTCGGAGTCCTGCGAAGGAATCGAATAACACTTGAGGGCGGCAAGTTAAATGGTCACATTAAGGTAATAATGAAACGTGAGCACACTTACGAAAAATTCACCCCTCGTAACCGCATCGCAGAAACCAGATGAAAATTCGGTTTGGCTACAAACGCTACAAGAAAAGTGTCTACTTAAATTTTGAAAACGTTTATCTCGGAAACACTACAAACCTAACTGTCTACTAAGTACACACTTACAAATACATGCTTGCAAGTACACACTTGCATGCTTGGCCAAGTACACACTTACAAATGCATGCTTGCAAGTACACACTTACAAACGCATGCTTGACGCCGTATAACTCCATGCGTCAAGCATTCGTTTGTAAGTGTGTACTTGCAAGCATGCATTTGTAAGTGTGTATTTGGCCAAGCATGCGTTTGCAAGTGTGTACTTGCAAGCATGCATTTGTAAATGTGTACTTAGTAGACAGTTAGGTTTGCAGTGAAGCTTTAGAGCCTTGTGACTTTTTGATGTGAATTTTGAAAAAGTCGCATATAGTAAATAACTTCCTTTGAAAACTCGAGCATGCTAAAAATTCTTTCTTGCTCTCCTTCTTCGTAAGGCCTAAAAGAGTTCGTTAAGTATTCAGATTGCACGGCCCAGGCATGATCAAACGAATAAAACATGGAACATGGCCAAATTGAAATTCTGACGTGACATGACATTGCTTGAGTAAACGAGGCCGAAAATACGAGACACATGAACCATGAGCAGTCTACGTAGACATTCCGTACCGGAATACTGGCAACGGTCATTCCACACTCTCACAGCCTTGCGTAGAATTTGTTCGCATCACAAACCATTTGGTTTGCAGCTAGCGAAGAGTTTGTCTTGTTTGTAACACGAACTGGTAGTTCACAATGTATTAGCAGAGGTTCGCATCACAAAAAGGCTGTTTGCAAATTGCGAAGCACTGCTCCGAACTAGAGAACAAGTGAGATTCTTCAAAAGCTTACAAACGAATCAGTTCGCATGGTTCAAAGAGTACAGATATCATTGAACAATATTTTTGACGACACAACGCCGAAGTTAAGAAGAATGATGGATAAAAGAGACTTCATTATAAGGCAACTGGAGAAAATAATTTCTTAACGCCAAACTTGAGTGGGAAATGCGTCGAATTCGTTCGTCACTTAGGTGGTAAGTAACCGAGAACTGTCTTAGAATTCCTGCTAAAAGCTAGCGCAATATTTGAAAGACGTTATTCTCTGACATACAATGACGCCGTTTCAGAAGACATAAGGGAAAATATACAACTGCCGATGGCGATTGTTCCACCATTTCGACTATCACTGTCAGAAAACTCCGTAAAAATACGGAAATTTAACGGAGACTGTGCATTTTTTTATACGGAGATCTCCGTTTTTTTGAATTATGGATTTTCTCCGTAAAAATATGGAAGTTATGTAAAAAAATGAAATAGAAGCCTTACTTATCAAAAAGAACAGACTAATTCACGTTATCGATGGGTTGGGTGACCAACTGATTAGGTGTTCCAAGAGTACGCCTTCCCTAAAGCAACCTCGCCTTTGGGTTTCCGTCCATTTATCCGAACCTGGCATGTGGTCAAGGGGATCTTCAAACAGTTTTGGAGAATATCACTTTCGTCTTAAAGACCACTGTTTGCATTAACATCGGAGGTAGGAGGGAAGTAAACCGTTAAAATGCGTTTATTTCTGCAAAAATGCGGTTCATCTCCGTAAAAATACGGAAAATCTCCGTAAAAATATGGAAAATCTCCGTAAAAAGATGGAAAATTTACGGAGCCTCCATTCCCAAAATTAGAGTAACTTTCTCCGTAAATTTACGGACTTTTTTCTAACAGTGTACATTAATGAAGATATAGGGAGAAAAAACTTCCTCAGAAAAATATGCAAAGAGACGAAGCGAAGCACTCACCCCGTATTGTTTGACCTCCGAAAGAATTTCCGCCTTCTCTGCAGCGTGTTCCATCGGTCCACTCATAGTTTCGTCGTTCACATCCATCATATCCACTTCGGCCATGGGCTCCTGAAAATGAGCATAGACCACATGTATATCAATATGAAAATCTGTGGACGGCTAAAACCCCACAACAAAACGCTCTTTGCAATACGAAGCAAACTGCAGCATCACAATCTGAGAAGAAAATCGTAAGTATGACAATCGATGAAATATAAAGGGGAAATCCGTCGCAGGCTACTTAGACCTTCTTAAGGCTACAAGGGATTTGTCTTTCTCAAGCCAGGAAATCGTCTGTATTTCAAACTATTTTCTTCCTAGGCCGCAAAGCGAAGCCGCCGGTTTCTTTGAAGCTACAAAGAATGATCTTTGAAGGAATTTGTCGGAGCAGTTTAAGGTTCCCACTTTACTTCAGGCGAAAAGGTTACCAGCCCCGTTCATTCGGCAAGCAACGCGTTTTGATCAGGAATAAATTGCTTCACAAAGTTGGAATGCAAAGTGGCGGTCTATGCATCTTTCAGTGGAATCGTGAAGACTTAACACTTGACCGTTGAGTCATGGTGATTTCGGTGTAGATCATAACAGAACACTGGCTTTGAAACAATAAGAGCCCATCAATACAATATGAATACAATTGGACACTTGAGCGGCACGTTGCAGCATCTTGAAAAAAATTCCTGCCAGTTAAGGAGAAAATCCACTTAAAAAATGGATATAACTCAACTTGACCCCTTTTACGGCCTATATTTAATCCGAAAATGGAAGCAACTCAACCGAAGTCCACATAACTCCATTGCACAGAACGGCAAAAGGAGATAACTCAACTTGTGTCTTCATGAATCTGGTGTAAAAAGAATGAACTCAATCTAACTCCCCATCACTAGTTGGAAGAAAGAGGTAACCTCAAAAATGTACCACAGAAATACAGACTCTACGCAAACCTCAGGTCCACTTGAATCGTCTCCAAATTCCGCCTTGTTTGGGAGCACTAAGTAACTTGGTTCTGTAGTCCATTCCAACGTAAATATTAAAATCACAGAAACCGTCTACAGAGCAATGCTACTTTTTTGAACATTTTCAGTTATTTCTTATGCGACAAAAATGCAATTGCATCATTCATCAGATTGAATAAAGTTTTCCCAGCAAACAGTTTTTGTTTCTCCTGAAAAATGATGAAAATTGAGTAATCCCCTTCTTCCGCTTCATGGATCAAATATGGTGTGCAAGTTTTTAGAAGTTGTTTCCCCTTGTCACGCACTGAGCTGCTGAAAATCTGTGAAACTCACAGGCACGGCGGGAGGCTCCCCAGCGCTGCGGCAGAACAGACGATGCCTTGGCCAGTCACCGCGCTGGCAGTTCTTGGAACAGTAGAAATCCAGCCTGCATCGTGAGCACGCCTGCGCCGGTTGAGAGCTGCAGTTGAAGCAAGCGCGGGAGTACCCTGCAACAAGGAATAAACCTTCAAGTAGTTTCATAGCTAAAAGGTCTTGAGAATTACTAGAGGATTGTTTATCAATGCAACAGCACACTCTCAGACTCGTATTAACTTTTGTCCATCCCTTATACACTTTTTATCCTTTGCTTTCGTAGTTTTTGAGGCAGCAATCATTTCTAGTGTTTCCTTCGAAACCATGTACAATATTGTTCATTTTCAGAACTAAGTTGTCATCAATTATTCTGTATTTTATAAGTAAATACCAAACTGACTTTGAGTCAATATAACGAACAAAACCTTACACAGATATTGGGGGAAAAGTACTTCTTATTGCTGTGTAAGATACTCTCGAACAAAAGATAAAGAGTCAATAACAGTCTGAGAGTGCACCGTGTTTTCGATACAAGAAAAGAAGTCTTGTAAAGCTAGACTCACGCAGACTATTGTTCATTAATATGAAGAAAAAGCCTTAGTGCCAAATTTTTTAGGGTATATTATAGGGCCTTGTGGAAAGATCTTGTCAGGTAGTTTGCATACAAAGAATCGTAATTAATGCACAAGCGAATTTCCTTGAAATGGATAACTTGGGACCACTAGTTCTTAACATCTTTCACCTTCAAGATGTAGTTCTTAAATTATATTTAAAAAAACTAAAAATATGAGCCCGCGAATGGTTGTGCACTTTGACGAAAGAGCATTCTAGTCGTCGCCGATCGAAGAACAAAAAGAAGGACAAAACCGGAAGCCGGGAAGAAACGGAGTAGGTATCAAGCCCGATTCCAGCGAGAAATGTCGAAAAAAAATTTCATTTCCTGTGTCAAAAAGTGTTTAAAACAAACGAAAAGTGCTTTTGCAGGAGATACACCACAGAAAACTCAGTAACTAGTCCACTCATAGACGTCTGGGAGGTTATGTAACCAGCGCCAGTTCAGGCTTTGTTCTTCTTGTTCTTCGATCGGCGACGACTAGAATACTCAATTGTCGATGGCCGATTTCATGTACTGTTTGATTCTGATTTCCTTTTGTCCTGTCTCTAGCCGTTCGCGAAATAAAGCACTGAGAAAGTATGAGCCAAATTTTGAGTGAGGTATACGTCTTCTCCCGAATTAAGGTAAAGCAGCTGCCTATGTCTCTAGATACACTGAGATTCCAAACGCTATGAGTATAGCACGTATGGTGCAATGCGCTGTGATATCGCACCATACGTGCAATGCCACAGCCATATTGCACCTTTGGTGCAATGCTTCCCGAAAAGGCCCTATGCTAATGCATGGGAAATGGGAGGCATTGCACTTCATGTGCAATGCTTTTGCATTGCACCAATTGACGCTATACTCATAGCGTTTGGATTCTCAGTGTATCAACCAACTTTGGGCAAAAAATATATTTGGCTGAAATTAGAGTGGCAAATCGATTCTCACCCACCCAAAATTTAAGTTTGATTAATTGATTCTCACTGAGGTCAGAGGTTCAATTGGTGATTCGATGCAAGCACTACCAATTCAAAAGAAGCCCCTCACAAAGAAGTGGCAATTGCTTGTTACATTGCAGTGGCTTAACAACGCGCTAGACTCACCAGGATTTGCCATAGTCGGTCAACAGTTGTCCAGAAAATCGATGACGCTGCAACAAATGTGATGTGTTAACGGAAAATCGTGACGATCAGAAAGGACAAGGACGGCACAGTAAACGGTACAAGGCTACGCTGCGCTCCTGCAGGGTCAAACGCCCTCGGACGAACAGTAAATCAGAATTAACACACCACTTGAAGTAAACGCTAAAAAGGAGAAAAGGGCAGATAAGTGGCACCGGAAGTGGCCCTTCACGTCGCTTACCACATAAAACTTCTGAATTCGTTCCCAATAAGAAAGAAAACGTGAATACATGACTAAACTGCCCAAACCCGACATTAGAAACTGCGTCCGAGGTCTTATTAATAAATCACTTTCATGGAGTATTCAAACGAATCCCTGGACCGGAAGTCACAGACCTGTAGTAAGAACGAAAACGGCTTCTGCGCATGCGCAGACGTCCCCCCTTCTCTGAGGCAGCCGTTTCGGTTCTTACTTTTAGTCTTCGACTTCCGGTCCAGGGATTCCTTAATATACCCTATTAAAACGTGCACAGCTCAAAGCAAGGGTATTAGAATATCCGATGAATCCTCAAAGCTAAATAGGATATTTCAATGGCGGCCCAGACCGAAAGCCCAAAGCATTTACCTGTACCGGAAACACACAGAGTTAATACGGTTCTTGGATTGTGTCGAAGTCATGACATATCTAAGCACTAGGGATACATGTTGTAAGTCAATTGGGGCTGTTACGCCATGAAACATGCTCATTGTTCATGAGTTTCCGGCTACGTTTCAGGCTCCCGAGGGGGTGAACACTCGCGTATAATCATGCACACTAAAACTGCGTATCACGCGTAATACACGTGAACGTAACACCAATATCGGGTCTGTTGTGGCCAAATCACTGGTACTTTGACATAGTGACGAATGTCCACAATATCTTATTTTTCAGGAGAGCCAAAACAAGTTTAAAAATTGAGCTGGAAGATAGAGGTATTGGATTTGATTGTAAAATTTTATACCACAGACTCCTGAAGGAATACGTGTTCTTTGGGTTCAAGAGCCGTTGCAATCGGCAGCTTGGTTCCCGAGATAGTGGACATTCGTCATTTCTCAGCGTACGAAACTTAGGCCAAATGGACGAAAGTCCGCCGTACTTTGACAAAATGACGAAAGTCCAACCGTACTTTGACAAAATGACGAATGTCCATGTGTGATTCGACAAAATGGCGAAAGTCCAACTTTACTGTTAACACAAAATAAATGAAAGTTTTCATCCCGGGCATGTTCCATGATCATGCCGTCACTGTTTTCATGGATATTCCTCTTGTTGGGAACGCACCGATAGACTATATCCGTTTTTTTGCAGTTGGGACATTCGTCATTTTGTCAAAGTACGGTTGGACTTTCGTCATTTTGTCAAAGTACGGTTGGACTTTCGTCATTTTGTCAAAGTACGGCGGACTTTCGTCATTTTGTCAAAGTACAGCTGGACTTTCGTCATTTCGAAGTATTTTCCTGCGCCGAATCTAGAAGAGATATCGATACATGCTTTTCACCAGGCGATAGTAAATCAAAAGTTCTATAACGCAGCCAAAAATCTCATTTTATCAAAATTTTGGACATTCGTCACTATGTCAAAGTATCAGTGAAATTTAGACATTGAAAGGCCTAAACACACGTGTTTTAACCCCGAATTACAGCGTCATACCGAGTACACGATTTCTTCAAGTGTTCAGTCCATGGGCGGGTCCAGGCTTCCGGTCCAAGGCCTCCTTTGAAATACCCTATCCAAAGAGCATGAGAGGTAAAGGAGAATAGGGTAGTTCAGAGAAAACCTAGACCGGAAGTCAGCGACTAAACGGGAGAAACAAAAGAGCATCGCGCGGCTGTGCTGAGTGGTAGAGGGGGTCGAAATGGGCGGAGTGGGGGTGAAGGCGGCGCGCAATGCTGCCCCCACTCGGCCCATTCCGGCCCCCACCACCGCTCAGCACGGCGTCGCGACGCTCTTTTGTTTCTCCCGTTCTGTCGCTGACTTCCGGTCTGGATTTCCCCCAAAGTACCCTATTGAGAGGGCTGAATCAGAGTCTTAATTGTACTGCTTTCAAAGCTACCAGCGATAGCGATACGACAAGAGTTTTCTCGGGGACCCTTAACCGGAAGTCTAAAAAGTCACTATTGGACGGAGCCTGACCTTTCCCCGGGTAGCTACAGTGCGAGCTAGCGGTACGGGAGTATTAGCTAGGGGACACGACGTCTCCCGCCAAAGGGTTCTATTGAGGAGGTCTGGACCGGAAGCCAGGAGATGCGATCCTAGGCGGGAATCGTTTTAAGATAAACAGTAGAAAATTAACCAGGGAAAACTACCGCCGGCGGCCCTCAAGAGACTCACTCCACGCTAAAGCACAAGAAGAACAATACAAGTACTAACGCCGTCTTGACTTTCAAAGAGAAGCAGCTCAGCCACGCCCGGAAGTCAGCTTTGAGCAGAGAGCTAGAGGGACGCAGGTGGTCCAACATCCGAAAATATTTCTAACTAAACTTATAAGAAATTTGTGGCAAACATGGGAATTTCATACAATGATCTATATTCATTCCTGAATTTGACGTGTGACTCCGGATTCATCTCGCCGAGCTAAGGTGACCGCGCACCCCCTTGGGAGTTTGCACCTCGGAAATTTCGTTCCCGAAGCTCTATCTCCTACCGTTAAGGAGCTTCGTTCAAATTAAACTTTTCTTCAAGATTGAATGCTATCTCTCTTAATTTCCTGTCTGAACGCGACGTACACCTTAATATATTGATTATTCTCTTGAGGTGTGCTCGCTCCTTCCTTGTGTTCCGCGTCACGTTACGCTGGCTCTGGCCTCTAGAACGATCTTTCGTGAAGGCCTTACTAACGGATGTGACCAAAAGCAGTTTGAGTTTTAATACACTTCTAGCAGGGCCTGGAGTGAAAAACAAGAAGCCGGAAATAGTTGCCAAATAATGCTTAATTCTTGATTCCGAATGTTTATTCCAATCTAAAACTTCAAGGAAGCTTTATATTTCAATACAGTAGGGTACTTCCGAGGAAATAGGGTACTTCGGAGAAGAGCTGGAGCGGAAGTTGAGAAGAAATCAAGAAGAACAAAGTATGCGAAATATGTAAGAATGAGCGTCTGCGTCGCCGTTCTGCCGCTTCCGCAGAGTTATATTCTCATACAAGTCCGGCGTTTCCCCTTCTTGATTTCTTCTCAACTTCCGGTCCAGCTTTTCTCCGAAGTACCCTATCCAGACCGGAAGTCATCGTAAGAACAGGAGAAACAAAAGAGCGTCGCGAGGCCGTGCTGGTTGCTGGTCGGTGGTGGGGCCGGCATGGGCGTAGTGGGGGCAGCAATGCGCGCCGCCTGTACCCCCACTCCGCCGATTTCGACCCCCCACTACCGCTCAGCACTGCCTCGCGACGCTCTTTTGTTTCTCCTGTTCTTACGATGACTTCCGGTCTAGGTTTTCTCCGAAGTACCCTGTTTCTAAAACTGCCAAAACCCACCGAAAAAGGCCGGTTTTTTGTACTGTTTCTGGTCCATGTTCTTCTTCTTGTTCTTCACTTCCGGTTCCGCTAGAAGGGGTCTGGCTCTAACCGGTTTTGGATTAACGCAACGGTATACCAAAAAGGCGTTTTTTTTTTTGATTCATGGCCTGGAGTGAAGATCCTCTGCCCCGCACCCCAGTTTGCCAAATCCCTGGTACACCGAAGTTATTCTCACCATGGAGACAAGGAACCTTAATTTTTTATTGGCACTTCCGTGTAGACCGGTTAGTGCGAAAACGGAAAAACAAACGACGTCTAGCCGTGCTGTCGTTAGGGGCCTTGAAGGACGGAGTGTGGAGAGCGGCCCCCTTTACCCCCCACTATTTCGTACCGTGTGTTAAGCGTGGTTTTGTTTTCCCCCGACCCGGGTTTGGCCCTCCGAAACAGGTTTTTGAAGTACCCTTTTTAAAAGCTGTTTATGACCCCCAAAAGGCTGTTTTAAATTTTTTAACTTTTTCCCGGTCTATGCTCCCTTTTGTTTTTTGGCCCCCCCTTTAAGTTTTTTAAAAAAAATGGCGGATTCCGCGGGTATATATGAACCGTCCCTTTGCGTCCGTTCCGTCCCACGACTTCCCGTTGGGGTCCCCTCCCGGGACCCAAATTTGGAGACCCCCCCCTTTGTGACCCTAAGCAACCGCCCGGAGACAGCCCAATGACCGATTACGACACCGTGGGGCTGTGTACGCTTAAAAATAGGGTTTTACATTTTATTTGAAGGTTGGAACTTGTTTTCGAGGAGGTTCATTGAAAATGGGTACTTTTGGAATCGGGGCCGGAACGTTGAGAAAATAAAGAAGGAAGCCGGACTTGAGAGAATGGTAAAGTTCGGACCCGGCAAACGGCAGCAGACGCTATTCTTACGCTTTTCCTTTTTCTTGATTTTTTAAATTGCTTTTTTCCCCGAAGTTTTTGAGGGGAATGTTTAAAGGGGGAAAACCTACTTTTTTTAACCCGTTTCGGTTTAAATCCCGAACAGGGTAAAAAATAGGCGAAATTAAGTTTTTATTAGGGACAAAATCCACAGTTGCATTTTTTTTTACGCTTTCCCTGTTTTACTCATACCACGTCGTATGTAACGAAACTAGCTGTTTCCCCTAAAGTGGCCTGACAAATACGTAGGGGTCATTATAAAAAGATCCCATGTCAAAGGGTTTTGCGTTTCGCGGGTTTCGTTCGGCTGTAATAACATGGCGAATTTTTACTTTGGTCAGAATCATATTTTTCTTTTTTCCGTACTTACTGGGCGTTTTTAGCTTTTTTTCTGACAATGGGTTCTTACGCGAAGAGAGCTGGGGAACACGATGGGAATAGTTTCGAGACGATTGGCTGAAGTTTCGATGTCCCTTTCTCCATTTAACGTTTTTCTGTTTTTTTCGAAAAATAGCTGTTTTTAAGATAGTTCGTCTTCGATTTTGATGTGACTTTCCCAACACAATCCTCTCACATATTGAAAGAAAATCCTAAAAGGATTTGGTCGGCCCACCGTAAGTTTTTTTGGTCTGCATAAGAAAAGCTGTATCATTTTGGTCTTTTTCTTGAATTCTCGAACCAACTTTCTGAGTTTGCGTCCAAGCTTATGACACGTGAGCACATAAATTTGTCTTGTCGAAACGAATCCGTTGATGTCCAGAAAAGTCATTTTCGACTATTTTAAACAAAAGTTTCTCTCATACTGAAAAAATGGTGTAAATTTTAAAAATGGTCCAAAATGACTTTTCTATTTATTAACGGATTCGTCTCGTCTAAACAAATTTATGTCCATTACGCTTGGACACCTTATTTCAGTGTGAGAGAAACTATTGTAAATTTTCAAAATAAAAAATATCATGTTTTGTCCCAAGGGGTGAAACTTCTCTAACTGAAACCAAGTGAAAGGACAAAGCGTCCTATGTTTGGGCAAGTGTCGCCCGTTGAAGCCCGACGCTTTGAAGTACTCAAAAACCCCACTTTGTCCAAAAACCCCCCTGCATTTGTAGGAATTTTGGCTTGGCCCTTTTAGGGCAAAGCAACCTGATTTCCTTTGAAACCCCAGAGGTTAGCCTGGGCTTCTGTGGTTACACAATGCTGGTCGGACAGTGGTGGTCAGAAAACCTTTCAAAGCGTTGGACCCAACCCTGGCCCCCACTTTCAATCGTAGGATAAACTGTCCAAGGGCTTTGGCATGGACCTGCCCATGGGTTTGCGGGGTCCTGACGCCCCTCTTCCCGCAGCTGCTGTCTTTGCCTGACGACGCGCTGCTGGCCGTGCTGGCCTTCCTGCCCGCCAGGACGCTCTTCGCCTGCCGCGTGGCGTGCCGCCGCCTCAGGGACCTCTGCCTGCACCGCCACCTGTGGCGCTCCGTCTGCGTGGAGAGCCTGGGAGTGCTGCGCGCCGCGACGGCAGCCCTCGTCCCATGCATCGGCAGACTCAAGGTAAATTGAAATGCTTTTTGTAACGATTTTCTAAGAAAACGCCAGGAAGTGAATCTGGTTTCGGTGGTTTCCAAAATGATACGGGGGTTCTTTGATACAATGGGTTACACACCCTTACAAAACGGGGAAGGCTCCGAAATGGGTCCGATATTCACTCGATTTAGCTCTAAATATGGCATCTCATTTCACATCGAGAATCACCAATCCGGAGCCGTTTTTGATGAGGAAAACCCCAATAAATATTACGAAATGTTTCCAGTTTTTGTATTTTTCCGCGGTTTTCAACCGCTTTAGGGGCTGGATCCCACTCATCCACCCATCCCTTTCGCGGTGGAGGTATAGATCGTGTTAGCGTCGTCTGTTTGCGTCCCGCCTCCCGCCGCGCCGCAATTACCGTTTTAATATTGCCCAAATTTTTATGGCAGAAGTAGTGATAGTATACACCCGGCTGTAGCCGGGTAGTTTTTTTTGGTGGCCCAGCATTTCGGAAGTTTTCGATACGTTTTTGAGATTTTCAGGGAAAATTAAAGGTTTTGATGTTTAAACCTGGGCAAAGATTTGGTGGAATTGTGAGAAATTGCTGCAAAAGCCGTTTCCATGGCAAAACTCGACTGTCAAGGACAAGGGATGGGGGAGCCGAGCTGTGGCGGACCAAAGCGGACCTTTTGGGTCTGTACAGCTTACTCCCAAAGCTGAAAAAGCAACGTTCGAAATGAAATTTTTTACTGCAGAAAAACAACAATAGAATTGGTGCGGTTCGAACGAGTTTTTCGGGGAAAACCAAAAATACTTCTGAAGTTTTTGATCGCATGTATGTTGTGACGAGCCTAGACCACTTCGCTCCACCTCACTTCAGTCTCATGTCTGACAAGATCACCCCGTTTAAAACCCCCCGAGATGAAGTCTTTTCAAACCAAACCCCGGGTGTTGATACGTAAGGGAGAACTATTCACGAATTGAAAACATGACTAGAAGAACCATAGCCTTTTGACAAGCCAACTTAGCCCAACAGGAGGGGCAGTTTTAACGCGACTCTGGCGCTTCAGCATCGCGATTTTCGCAAGAGGCGGACGGAGAAAATGTTGCCAACCCGAGAAAATTAATTTACTGCTCTTCTGCAAGGGAACATTTTAACATAATCAAAGACTCCTTGTCAGAACACTGCGGTACATTAGCATGAATTTTTTGAATTTACCAGCATTTTGATTTCTATTTATTGCAACTCTAATTTCGAAAGGATGGCCTCGACCACATTGGTACCACTCCATTGGTAGTCCCTGACCACAGCTTCACAACACCACTTCTTTCTTTTCCACACTCTTACACAATAATCAAATTGACTTCTGATCCTTTAAATATCTTGAAATCGAGTTTTTATTGGGGTTTCTATCACCAATCCTGAGTGATTTTAAGGAAGACCCAACTATTATATTCGAAATGAAAGATGTGATTGCCGCGTAAAAGTTTGCCAAAATTTAAACCTCATTTCTGGTAGTTTTAGATCAAAGCCACCTTTCGGTGACCATCTCCATTCAAGTCAAATATTGTCCTAATGTCGATATGTGTAAATTTCACCGCTGTAGCGCTAGTAGTTTGGGAATGACAGCCTTCTAAAGTTTGCGAACGTGGCTATCTACACTTTAAACTGAACGTAGTGTTACCCTCTGGTTTCAAACGTAACAGGTACCTTGAAATCAAGCGTAACAGTCCCAACCGAAATCATATCAATGATGGTGGAAAAGAGTATGCTTCTTTAAATTTCAAGCGTAACTTTGCTTGACTCAAGCTGAGTTCGCTTTAGTTTACCAGTGTACTTCAAAATTGCTAAATAACCCGTCGCATCTGTGTAGATAGTACTTTAAATTTTTGGGTAATTTAGAGAAGGAACAGATTTGCATAAAGACCCTTTGAACTCTAAGTCGGAAACGCTTTTTTAGGTGATTGCAACCATTGAAGGCTGCCATTTCTAACCTGGAGCCCACAGCAAATTTCACACCAACTCAACTCTGACATGACTTAGGACAATATTTTAATTCAATATGAGACGGGATGCCTAAAACTGAAAAAGTGCATGGCAGCTCCTACAAGGAGTCAACCACAAAGCAAGTTTTAAACCCTCAAACATTTGGAGATTCCAAAGCGTGTAGGGCAAACCAAAAGGTAATTGATTTTAATATAGAAAGATTTTTCAATTGTCTATCCCCCTGTTTGGGTAACGTTATAGTTTGGTCCTTTACCTATAAAATCCACTCATATCCCACGAAAAATCGATGACGAACACCAAAAACTGGTAAAACAAAACATAACTCTTTGCTTGGTCCCAAACAGAAAGTTACGCCCGGGGTTCCTTTAAAACTTCGCATGGGCCCCAGAAATTCCCCACATTTTGAGGGGAATCGGGGATGGAAAAACCTGTTTTCATTTAAGCGTTAACTGAAATACGTTGAAAACAATCGGGGGAAGAACTAACGGGTTTAAAATTTTGGCCTTAACTTAGCCCCCAAGTTTTCACTTTGGAAAGGGATCAAAGGGTATTCATCTCGTGTTGCACAATAGGACTTTCTTAAAAAAAAAAATGCCTCCAAGCATGAAAATGTGCAGTTATGCAGCACTTTGTGCGTTGTCGCGCACAAAGTCGAGCACTACACTCTCAGCACGTTTTTGACTTTTTGCTCATTTTGTCAGTACTTATGCAACCATTATACGTACTTTTCCTATTTTAAAGAACTACTTACTCAGGAATTATTAGATAATTTACTGAGAATTTTGTTTCGTACGTAATTTTACAAAGGAAATTAGCCATACTTAGAGAATACTAAGTATTATTGCTGGTTATACGGATACGTAATTAATGAGGAAAAAGTCAGTAACGTGCTGAGAGTGTAGGGTCACTTGGGGTAATTATGGGACACGGGGTAAAAATGGGACAGCTGATTTTTAGTCAAGATTTGACATTTTTGAACGCATGACAAATCAAATGTGATGTTTTTATTGAGAAAATAACATTTGCTACGGCACAAGTTCTAAAATCTCGATTCTTGCCCGGAAATCAGCTGTCCCATTTTTACCCCGTGTCCCTTAATTGCCCCCACTGACCCTACACTACACGCGTGTGTCAATTTTGTGCATAAGCTATGCACGAGAAGACTTCGCAAGAAATTCGTGTGCAGATTCTGCCATTTCAATTTACCGTGCACCAGGTGCCTGTGGGATCCGCGGTCTTTTTCCCGGAAGACACCGCGTGCGTCGTCCGTGCACTTGAGCTGACTGTGCAGATCTGGCGAGATTCAATCCTGGCCTACGGTTTGGTCCAAAGGCTCTCCGACGTCGGCGGCGTTACGGAGCTCGTCTTGCGAATAAGCTGCAGGTCGTTTAGGCGCAACGAGCTGCAGCCGCTGCTGAGGACGGCCTTTGAAATGCGTGGCCTGCTCATCCTCGACGTGACCAACGACTCGGGCAGGCCGCTGCCCAGCGACTGGTGCGAGACCGTTGGGGTGCCCTCGCTGACCAGGCTTCGCTACGACTCGCCCTCGGCGGACCCTTTCCTGGAACTGCTGCTGCGGACACACGCGGCTACACTGCGACACGTGGAGCTGCACCGACTGGACGACGTCCCCGCGGTGCTTCTGGCTCGAGCTCTCCAGCTTCGCTCCCTGAAGTGTTTGCCGTGCGAAGGTCTGTCCAAGCTGGTGGACTTGCCCGGCCTTGCCCACATCGACCTTTACTGTGAAGGAGGCAGTGACGACCAGGAGGGCGCTGCGTTCCCCCCAGGCACCCTGGCATTCCTATCAGGGGCGTCGCACCTGCGGAGCGTCAAGCTGTGCCTCTCCGCGGAAGACCCTGACGCTCCACTGCGCGCCCTCAGCACATCACCCTCCGCCCAACATCTTCAAGAACTAGTCGCTCTTGCTGATAATGAGGACCCACCGGAAACATTCGTTACGACCCTGGTGACTCCTTTCCTTCCCTCCTTTACATCTTTGAGGACCCTCATCGTTGACGACGACCTTGAGCAAGATTTCTTACTGGCTGTCAGCCCCACTGTGCTGCCGTGCCTCACGACGCTCAAGGTGGACGTCCTTGAGGATTCGTGCATGCACGGCACACTGCACAGGCCTGCCGTGCACGATGTCCTCATGAGGAACCCTCATCTGCATCTCTACATTGAAAAGGGTTTCCCCGAGAAAGTAATGTGTAATGACTGCCCGTGGTGCAAGTGGGGCTGCCATGAACTTCTGGCAGAAACCAAGAACTCTGAGGTCTGCTACTCGTCGCATAGCAAATCCGCTACTTGCCCTAAGGAATGTTTCCAGGCTTTCAGTCCTAGTAACCCACTTCATCCTAGCAATAACTAATTCATGGTTCAGACCAGTACCTCCGTAATACTGTGCAATCCTGTCCCTTCTACGCTACCTGAGATGGTAATAAAATTATCTAATTAGTTTCAATATGTCAATTTTTTTTTTTCCGCCTACTTAAGTGACTATTACATCATCCTATAGAGCTGTATTTCTTTGTGTTTCTTTTAATCGAACAGAGCGCTTGAAAGAATAGTAGTGAACCGGTCTTTTCATTGTGTTCGAATTGATTGACTAGTGTTAGCTCGGGATAGACCCACTTGCCTTTTGATGTCAATGTTCAGTTTTATGCTATATGATTTAAAACGTTGAAGTGATTCGGTTTATTTTGTTCTTAGATGAGACTTGTTTTGTATTCTTGTACTTAAATTTTACAGATAAACATTAATACTCTACCCATTATTCATGCTTATTTCTTTGTAAATCTTATCATTAAAACCATTGCCTTTATTTCTCAAGTGTGATGTAATATTTCATTGTCCCGGCCCATTGTCACGGTATTCGTTGCCTAGCCGCAATCATCAAAGTTCTGCCAAATTGCACTTGATCGTAAGCCCTGGGCACACTGTCGGCACAGCAAGGCCGTGGCAAGTTCGCTTGCCACAAAATTGGCAAGCCCGACCCTGAAATCCTGAAACTAGGGCATTGCAGGAGGCCAAAGCGCCAATTTATGGCCAGCTACTGAAGGCCAAAGCTTGCCAACGTTAGGTATTCAAATCAGCCTGCCAATTTAGTGGCAATCAAATTTGCCACCGGATACGCACTGTGGTCACCGCGCTGGCGATCAAGTTGGTCGGCGTGATCGGTGTGAATCACGTTATTTTGTAAAGGAATAGCTCTTCAACACGTAAAGCGTTATTAATTTATTATATATCAAGGTAGGTTTTCGCCAGACCGCGTCTTTTCGTAACAGGCTTCGCGATGTCTCGCTGCCTGTTCCTCCAAACCACGCCTGGGGTACCTACCTTGGCCTGCGGCGCTAGCCTGCCGCGGCAGGCAATGGGTTGTCCATTGTCGGTTATTTTTTTAAATTGTTGAATGCTGGGGGGCTCCGCCCCCAGACCCCCCCACATTCAAATAGAGTTGTTTTTTTCTACAGATAACACGATCTTGACCCTTGTCACTTTTTTTAATTGTCGAGGCTGGGGGCTCTGCCCCCCGACCCCCCTTTCTCCCCCGCCAAAATGATGTATCTGCAGAAAGCTCTATTTTTCGCCGTTTTTAGGTGTCTTTCGGCTATAAAAACTGAACCAGTTGAGCTAGGATGGTGAAATTTCGCTTGTGTCGAGCCAAGGACATACCCAAGAAGTGTGCAAAATGTCACCGAGATCGGCTGAGCCGTTCAGGAGGAGTAGTGCGGACACACACACACAGACAGGAAAAACTTTTCAACCCCACTGGAGTAACAGGCTTCGCTATCGCTCAGCCAATGAGTGTTGGGTAATTCTTTCCTATTCACCCGAGGTCCCGAAATCGATGTCTTGGATTCCGACGAAACTTTGTGAGTGTTGTGTTCTTATGTAGCAAAGAGCACCAGGAAATATTTTCAACCGTTTTTGGTCGGCCCAAAAAGCATGAGTCACGTAATTTTTTAAAAAACACTGAAACCTTCACTAAAAATTTGTTTGTCGCCTGAGGGCGACTTCACTGAGGAAACAATCACAATAAATCCTGTAGCGATTAGAACAGCTGTCACAGTAGTTCAGAGTACAGGATTTACTGCACTTTTTTTACAGGATCTACTGTACTTTGTACGGGATTTACTACCGCAGGAGTGGAGTACGGTATATCCAGTACCAGGTACTGCAAATACTGCAGGCAGGCACAGCAAATCCTGTGTTCTGAACTGCAGTAAATCCCGGCAAAAAAAAAATTAACGGGATTCACTGTAGTTTTTTCGCACAGTGCTGCCAGGTGGATTTCCTTTCTTTCCATGGTACTGAAAAAAGGCTCCGAGAGCCACTTCACAAGTCACTTGTTTCGGGAGGTATGGCCAAAAAAGTCGTTTTCCGCAAATACCCAAAAAATGCATCCGAATTTTTTTGATATTTTTTATGGAAGGTCCTATGGTGGTCCACCTTCCATATTGGTTCTGGGTTTGGCCCATGGGAAACAATAAAAAGTGCATTTCCGTTTGTCTTTTCGCAGTTTTTGGCCCACAGTATCGCCATTTTGAGTTTGACTTCAAGAGCACCAAAATACTTTTTTTCGCCTTTTCAAGATGAATGGATCAATGTAAGTTCAAAAATCGGAGTACTTTGCAAAATCACTCCTCGAACACTTCCAGATTGGTTGGATCCCAACCGATAAAAAATGGCTATTTTTTAAGTACTCCGATTTGACTGCAACTTATATCAATCGATTCGTCTTTAAAAGGCGAAAAAAGTCTAATGGTGCTCCGTAGTCAGACTCAAATAGGCGATATTGTCATGGTTCAATGTTTCGAAGAAACGGGGAGGACCTACAAATCAAGATGGGGTGTGGAGTAGGCCAGCGTTCTTCTTCTGTCTCTCCCTTCTTGAAGCCACACAAATAATTAGAGTTGGTTGAAATAAGCATAAAGCAGAACACCAGAGAAATTTACATTTAGACAGTGGTTTAATAGCAAAATAAGTTGATGGCAAGGCAACGGGTTACAAATACTGGAAGTGAATATACTTCGAAATTGATAACATGGAATTAAACTATGAAAAATAATTAACCATTTGAGCAAGACTATTAAGCAACAACATGTCAAGAAATACAAAAGCACAGCATTTAATTGAAGACGTTTACACAGCAAACAAAGTTACTTAAAGTTAATTAACAACAATGAATTTTAAATAGAGATAAGGTTTTGTAATTAAACGCACTTAAGAGAGTAGAACTGGTAAAACTATATAGCTTTAGAATTTTCACTGAATAAAGATCATTTAAGAAACCAAGCGGATATGATTTGCAATAAAATTTGTACAAACAGTATGATTGAAACCTACTTACAACAAACCAACCATAGCTGCAATTTTAATCACAACAACAAAACGGTCACAATAAACAATACATTTTAACACTCACTTTACATCAACATAGAGCACTTACCAAAACGACAACCCACAAATCAAAACGACACGTCAAAGGGTATCGACACTTTGGCATAACTAACTTTGATCCATTTAATTTAGCGGAAAACAAAACCTTAAAATAAATAAATAAGTGAGAGGCGTCCCTCTATTGGAATGAACTAGTTAGTAGAACTCAAAGAATAAATTTATACCAGGCAATAGAAACTTAATCAAGTCTTAGAAATTTACTTCATGTAAACAGAAGCAAACGGGAAAGAGACATCACTATAAACCAGTGATAAAATTGGAACTTTGATAAACAATACACACGTTGCATACACAAGCAAAAGACTCAAATACAAGGTAGGTGTACGCCAGACTGTGTCTTGTCGTATCAGGCTTCGCGATGCTGCGCCAGTTTCGACCATCCACGCCTGGCGTATACACCTACCTTGGCCTGCGGCGCTAACCTGCCTTCGGCAGGCTGCCTTCCTTGGCAGACCGTGGAAATGGGCGTGATCCCCTCAAAAAGTGCATTTGGTCATCAAAATCTTCACTAATGGGGCTAAACTTTCGGTCGGAGGTCTGAATGGGTTCTATTTTCGTCATCAGCAGCCTCAAAAACATTTAAAACGACATTGAACTTGACAAAAAGTTGAAAGTTCCAAAAAAGTTGTCTTTTTCCTGCCGTTTTTAAAGTGTTTTTTGGCTAATATGACCGAATGGGTTTAGATAGAAAGCTGAATTTTTGGGGTGTGGCGACCCAAAGGGTATGCCCAAACCCTGCGAAATCTCAGCAGAATCGGCAGAGCCGTTTAGGCGGAGTAGTGCGGACACACAGACCACCACACCCACACACAGACATGAAAAAATTTTCAAACCCCCCTGGAGTAACAGGCTTCGCTATCGCTCAGCCAAAAATTGGCTAGCGATAGCGAAGCCCGTTACTCCAGTGGGGTTGAAAAGTTTTTCCTGTCTGTCGGTCTGTCGTCTGTCTGTTTTTGTCTGGTGTGTCCGCACTACTCCTCCTGAACGGCTCAGCCGATCTCAATGAGATTTTGCACACTTTTTTGGTAGTCCTTGGCTCGGCACACGCAAAATTTCACTATCCTCTCAACTGGATCAGTTTTTATAGCCGAAAAAAAAAAAAATGGCGAAAAATCGAGTTTTCTGCAGGCTGGTCACCTCTGTCTTGAAGGAGGGGGGGTCGGGGGGGGGGGGGAGAGCCCCCCCGCCTCGACAAGTTAAGCAGTTACAAGGGTCAAGATCGTGTTATCTGTAGATGAAGCAACTCTATCTTAGAATGAAGGGGGGTCTGGAGCCAGAGCGCTGCATTGGTTGGTTCGGCCAACCCAATGATGCCTTCGGCTTGAGCACCAGTTCGGTTCGACCCGAACCGAAGACAGTTCGGTTCGGGTCGAACCGGGCGAACCGAAGACCCGTTCGGCATTTCGTCTCCTTTTTCGCGGTCCCTGAGAAGACGCACCCACTCGGACCGTCAGTCGGGCCAAAACCTTAGTTGGGTCGAACGACACCACTTAATTCGAAGACGTCTGCGCATTTCTGTTAACAATTTTAAAAAGTAGCCGAATCCACCCGAGTGCGCCCGAGTGCGACACCGATGGTGCTGCTGCTCTGCGGCATCTCTCGGAACCTCTCGACGGTTCTTCCGAACCAACAAATGCAGCGCTCTGTCTGGAGCCCCCAGCATGCAACAAGGTAGAAGTAACCGACGATGGACAAGCGAATGCCTGCCGAAGGCAGGCTAGCGCCGCAGGCCAAGGTAGGTACGCCAGGCGCGGATTGGAGGAACAGGCAGCGAGACATCGCGAAGCCTGTTACGACAAGACGCGGTCTGGCGTAAACCTACCTTGTATTACACATATATTACCTATATAACTGGTAATATACGTATACTCCCTCGTACACGGCCAAGGGAAGTTGCCGACCCCTCGCCTAGTACTGAATCGTTAATTTCAGGCCAACAATCTTTTGAAACCTTAAGAAATGCATTATTTTAGGCACTTATCATGTTTAGACCCGAAAAGA